AAGATGACTTCATAGACTGGAGGGTCATGGTATTCTGTGTCATTGTAACCTGACAATGTGGATCGGTGCTCATAATGTTAATCACTTGTTTGTCATATCCAGATTTAATTAGGGGCGGTGCGGTAGCCTAATGGTTAAAGCGCTGAAAACCTGGGTTCGATTCCCCACATGGTACAATGTGTATAGCCCATTTCTGCTATCCCCTGCCGTGATATTGCTTGAATATTGCTAAAAACTGCGTAAAACCATTCTCACTCATTCACTCATTGATAATAGCAGCGTTCAAAATTCCCGCCTGCCCGACCGCCCGGAATGGTCTATTTTCATCTCGGACAGTCAAATTTCAAAAGTAGCCTGTCCGGTGGTCTAGTAGATATTTTTACCCCAAACAGTAAATATTTCCTAATATCAGACAGGTTCTCTTGTCGTCAGTTTAACATTATTTGGGGTGTTTAAGGTATCATGAAAATTTTGTTTAAACTACTTACGATTAGACACTTCATGTTACAATAACCAATCACAACACGTGTAATTTCAGATTATTGTTGAAAACCGGACAGGCAAGTTTGTATCCGGACTGGTAATTTTTTAAAAGTTACCAGTCCGGCTTGGAATTTTAGGAGTTTTAAACACTGATAATAGACATACATAAATTAACTAAGGGGATTGGATGGTTGATACATCATTGTATCCAAGTTGTAAAGATCAGTGCTCATGATGTCAACCGCTGGATTGCCAGTTCAGACACGATTACTGACAGACTGCAATCATACAGCTGGAATATTGGTGAATGTTATGGTTGTCATTAAAAATGTGTTACCTTGCTCTCATTGTAACCAGCTCTCAGTGAAGCAGTGAAATATAGCTATCACCATCCTCCATGACACTGTGATGAAATCACCACTAATTACTTCAATTTTAACAAATTTCCCCATTACCAGTTTAATATTTGTCAAATACAGATGGCCTATACTCTTGCCAAGGCTGTGGTCGACTGACTATAGGACCTAGCCGTGTTGTTTACTCAGTCCGATGTCCAGACAGTGGCCACCCTCATATCTCCCTCACCAAGTGACCATAGGTCATTCTACTCCCAACTGGAAGGTCAAAGGGTATTGTCAGTGCAGATAGGAGCCCATGCTGGACAAATGGCCAGGCATTGACTTTGGGTAACCCGTGTGTCGATGTTGCGAACTGCTGTTGGAAGTAGATTGTGACGATTGTTCTGATGGTGAAGGACTATTAGTGTTGTCTCTTTGTGAAATAAATCCATCTGAAGTTGAATGAAGATAAAGGAGGTTAGGATTAGGGTTAAGTTTCACGAGAGCGGAATATGGATGTGCCATGTGTGACGTGCATTTGATCTTCACCTCAGCTGAAGAAATAGCTTGAATCATGAAAGTTGGGACTGTTTGTAAACAATTTCTTAATCAGAGATGGTTCATGGGATAATCTTGTGCTTAATGCAGTTTTTGGTGAAGCTTGTTTAATTCACTCTGTGGGTGTGGTCTGTGGGGCCCATTTCTGATGTCTCTTGCTGGAATATTGCTAAAGCCATACATGTTCTGTTCTCTCCTTGAAATCACTTGAATTACATTTAAAGATCTCACTCAATCACTTACCTCCCTCCCCTACTCACCAATGAGTCCCTTACCTATCTCATTCCGTCCCTTACCTTACTCCCTCACTCACTCCTTCATTCACTCACTCACTCCCTCATTCACACACTCACTCCTTCATTCACTCACTCACTCACTGGCGGCGTCATAATATGATACATTAAAATATGGTACGTGTTGGTCCCTGCCTGGCGCTCGGCATTAATGGGTACAACAAGGACTGGTCAGCTCGAAGTCAGTATAATGTGTCTGAGTGGGGTATTCATGCTTCACTGCGGCATGGTGTCTCAGTGAGCTAGCACTATAAAACCATCTTAAGACTGGGCTAGTACAAGCAGCCACACATACACATGCATGCATGTCGTCATATGAGCGAAAGTACGAAGTTAAACCCCATTTTGCCAAACTCACTCAATGATACTTGAAAACCTGCGTCTAAACCTCAACCTGTTAGAGAGTGGGTTCCTGGATCCCAAGTCATCTAATGGTAGACTCACATTAACACAGTCTGATAAAGCACAGTAGTTTAACCATCAGAATAACCCCTATATAATTCCATTAGCTGAAAACAATATCTATATGTCTCTGGCTTCACACTATAGTGATAAACAGCAGTCTGCTATTGAACAGTAATTGATTGATTGTGTTTTAAAGCCATTCCCTCATCTGAAAGACGCTATATGGCTAGAGAAGGCTCAGTGTTGTTGTCACCAAATTGTCCCGAATTGCCTCTTTTTGTGTTCCAGTCATTGATGTTGAGAGTACTCTGTCCTGGTGATGTAATCCAGTACCGTCACACAGGAGAGTCAAGTAGATGTGTTTTACAGGGATGTGTGTCTTTGTTTAGGCCACTTTGATGTTGACATCACACCCGTGGCCCATATTCTACACAATACAGCCTCGGGTACAGGTGTACTCAGGTGCCCTTAACACATGTTGGAAGGGGATAGTGATATTTTGTTATTATGAACAAATGCAATAACTATTTGTGGGAATTCTGATACAGATGATATTTGATATTATTGTGTTTCCTGCTCTCAAAGCTTTCCTGGTGACTAAAACTATAAAGGTTTTGTCTGCTATTCATGTCAGCACTTGCAGGTTTTAAAGATTACTGATTAAGTGTAGTGTTTGTAAGGGTTTTATAAATAAAGTTCCTGTTTCAGTGGGGGCGGTGGGGTATCCTAGTGGTTAAAGTGTTGGCTCGTCATGCCCAAGACCCGGGTTCGATTCCCCACATGGGCACAATGTGTGAAGCCTATTTCTGGTGTCCCCCGCCGTGATATTGCTGGAATATTGCTAAAAGCAGCGTAAAACTGTACTCAGTCAGTCAGTCAGTCAGTCAGTCAGTCCTGTTTCAGTGATAATGAGGGCTTAATAAATAGTGAGTCATGGGTTTCACTGTTAACATTTTCACAAAGGGAGTTGTGAATGAATTATGGATTTCACAAACACAGTGTATCATTCATGTTACTGATACCAAGAGTTTCCAGATGATACTCCCTGATCATCAGTAACTGACTTGAAGGAGGAAATACTTTTGTAAGACTCACCAGAGTGAGTGAGTTCAGTTTTACGCCACTTTTAGCAATATTCCAGCAATATCACGGCGGGGGACACCAAATATGGCCCTATTTTGAATTCCCTAATTAGATTATAAAGTAAATATGTTGTTCCAGTAAAATTATAAGTCCTGAAATAACAGGACTCTTTTTGACTAAAAGAAAGAAAATGCCTCTCAGCCAATTTAATCAGTGCGAGTCAGTTATGTCCTCATTTTTATTGCCAGTGATAATTATTTTTCAATGGTTCTGTGTTGTATGTAACAGATTCTGTTATCCATTCGTGGTTACTGAGTGTATAACAGATGTGAGGCCAGTTGTGTTTGATATTATACTAGTGGACCAAAAATCAAATGTTTTCATCCCTGATGCACCAGAGCAACTAAGATTCAAAACATCATATTTCCATGTCTTTATTAATGAACACCATCACAAACTTTGGGATAATTTTGTCTCTAAATGGAACTGTTGATTAGCACATTACTAGAGAGAAAAATAGAAATCGTTCATTGTTCAGTTAAGCAATAAGTCTTCATTATGATAAATCATCAAAACCCTTTTCCATAGTCATAAGCAATCTCTGTTCAAAGCAGAGTCCCAACAAACACGGGCGGTGGGGTAGCCTAGTGGTTAAAGCATTCGCTCGTCACGCCGAAGACCCGGGTTCGATTCCCCACGTGGTACAATGAGTTAAGCCCATTCCTGGTGTCCCCCGCCGTGATATTGCTGGCATATTGCTAAAAGGGGCGTAAAACTAAAATCACTCCCAACAAACACTCTGTGAGTACACTGTACAAGAGGCGGTGGGGTATGAAGTGGTTAAAGCGTTCGCTCATCACACTGAAGACCTGGGCCTAGATTTTCGAAGCTCTCTCAGCGCTAAGATAGTCGTAAATTAATGTTAATGTATGGCACTTACGACTATCTTAGCGCTAAGAGAGCTTCGAAAATTTAGGCCCTGGGTTATATTTCCCACATGGTATAATGTGTGAAGTCCATTTCTGGTGTCCCCCGCCGTGATATTCTGGAACTGGTGTAAAACTAAACTCACTCACTCACTCACTGCAAGGTTTCCATGCAGTGCACATGGTGACTGGCTGTGTCATGTGACAGGAATGTTGTCCTCCTCAGTCTTGTCCTTGTGCCCCAGCAGTGGGACGTGTGTCATGGCTTCATGCAAGTGTTGGTCTCATTTGTTGGATGGTGGTGTTAAGAAAATGCCTTGATAGCACTACCATGTGTTCTGTGTTGAGAGTTATTCAGTGTCGATAAGAGTTCGATTTAAGTGGAATATTGCGAAAAGTGGTGTAAGTCCTCACTCACTCACTCACTCACTGATTTCAGTGGTTTTGATACAACCAAAGCCCTTCAGATATATTTCTAGACTGAATTTTAGTCTCTGCATATTTATAATTTTTACTGAAACAAACAATTCATTTTAAGTTGAAAAGGTGCCCCATTGAGACGGGAGATTTTGAAACAGGAAATCTACACTTGCTTCATTTACAGTTTTAGCATTGCAGGAATGACTAGGCAGAAGGGAAAATAATGAGGTTCAGCAACTGTGAGACAGACTAATATATTTAATTCATGTTATTAGTAACAAACAAACATTCAGATGTGTTTTACACCAGCGGTATGCAGAACTCTCTCAGTCACTCTTTGCCCCAGTAGTCCCTAGTGACAATCAGGAGTAGAGTGGCCCCTTGTATAATTCCAGGTTCGAGAAGCCTATTCCAGATGTCACTCTGTCACTGAGAAAATCTGCCGAAAACAATTTGTGTTCCATCCATGTTATAAGATATGTTTTGCTTTGCAGACATTCCGCCTGCCCCTTGGGTTGAAGTACAGCTGCCCCGCCCCATCAACATGGATGCTGGTCATCAACTCCCTCTTCACCATCCTCAACATTGGACTCCCCGTTGCCAGGAAACACGGTCAGTAGAACATGGCGGAGTTTATAGACGACAGAATCTAGTGTGACAAAACTCAAAACATTGATATTGAGAGCATTCTGGGGTTTGATGATTATTCTGTCACTGCTTCAAGATGTTTTGTGTTTTCCTGTGTGCAGTAGTAAAACTTGTTAATAATAACAATAATAATATGACATGTTAAACATAATAATAACATTTGTAATGCGCTGAATTCCACACCACAGAGGGGCACACTCACAGCGCTACAATCTGATTATTATTACCCCAGATAACCCAGCTGCCTGAAGGCGCTAGAATGTTATTAGTCACATGACCTATCCCACCGGGTACCCATTTATTCCACATTTTATTTAACATCACAAGACATTATTTGCAATTTTGAAGTTTATTTCGAATATGTTTGACAATGTCATATATGCAGACATTAAGGTTACCATGCATAATGGTCTTGCCCTCCCCTGTCCGACCGCCTCCGTGGTGTAGTGGTTTGAGCGTCCGCCCGGAGAGCGGAAGGTCGTGGGTTCGATCCCCGACCACGTCATGCCAAAAACATGTTAAAATATGGTACTTGTTGGTCCCTGCCTGGTGCTCGGCATTAATGGGTACAACAAGGACTGGTCAGCTCGGAGTCAGTATAATGTGTCTGAGTGGGGTATTCATGCTTCACTGTGGCATGGTATCTCAGTGGCCTAGCACTATAAAACCAGCTGAAGTCTGGGCTAGTACCAGCAGCCGCACATACACATACACACACATGCACATCGTCATATGAGCACAATATTCTCAAGCACGACGTAAAACCCAATTTCACCTCACCTCCCCTGTGCATCCTATTATTTGGGGATCCTCCCTAGATACTATCTGATCCCTACTCCATCTTATAATATATGACCAGTCCCTAATGTAACTGGACCGGTGAAGATCTGGGTTAGAATTGGTCTTCAGCAACCCATGCTTGTCTCCACCATGAAGATCTGGGTTAGAATTGGTCTTCAGCAACCCATGCTTGTTGTAAGAGGCGACTAACGGGACTGGGTGATTAGACTCGCTGAGTTTGTTGCACGTGTCATCGTATCCCAATTGGATGCTCATACTGTTGATCACTGGATTGTCTGATCCAGACTCAGTTATTTACAGACCGCTGTCATATAGCTGGAATAATGTTTAGGTCGGCATTAAACAACAAACAAACCAACCCAAATGTAACTTGATGTTCAGTTCCCTGTCATTTATTCACTGCAGAAATGAGGTTATCTTTCAGGGCTTCTTATCAAAGTTGTCCCAACTGATAACAAAGATAATATACAGTAGTGGTGGTCCGATTAATTGAAATAATCGAAGATTGGTCTCAGTGACTAAACGACCAAGCAATCGATCATGTTTTCTCATAATCAAACACAAACAATTCTGGAACACTTATTTTCATAAACAATATTTTTCACAAGGTTGGTTTTGTCTGTTACATTTCATAAGCACTACAAGTTCGTTTCAAGTCATGATTGAATTTATCTTAAAGACTCCAAGACATTTATGTTCCTGACATACTAGTCATCCTTTAAAGATGTGGTCCCATAGTAAGTTATGCAGCCCCACATCATTAACTGTAAAGTGCAACCAGGTTTGTCAGCTAAGTAACCAAGGCAGTGGCCAAGCCACCTTTCAGACTTTTTTCTCCAGATTTTGATTTTTCCATCTGGCTTGATAACTATTGTCATTTCATCACTGAATATTACTTTTCGCCAGTGATCAACATTCCAGTGTAATTTTCCTCTACAGTCTTGGAGACGTTTTTTCCGATTTACCTCACGAATTCCTAGCTTCTTACAAACAATCCTCCGATCATAGCCCAAACGGTGTAATTCACGCTGAATGGATCTAGTTGAAGCAGGTACAGGTACTGAAGTATTATATTCACTAGTAATGTCAGACAAACTTTTACGCCTTCCTTTCTTAACACTCCTGTGATAATGTTGTCTGGCCACGAATCCCAATGACTTTCGGTCTTCCGCTTCGAGCAGAGTTATTTATTTTTTCCCTGTCGCGATAACGTTTCAAAAACTTACTGATTGTGCTCTTGGACAAATGCAGTATTTCACAAATTTCTGACTGTTTTAATCAACTCTCAGTTAGCGATACGATGCTTGTTTTCACAGAGGTCGACAGATCTTTACCCCTACGACCCATTGTATTTACCTCGATCTGATGTCGAAAGCAGACGACAAAAATCTCTTCCGCCTAGCACATGTCTAAAAATAGCATGCGCTGCGTTTGCATGCTAAGTTTTAGTGTGATACGTTTCCAACTCGCACAACGGGACACGTTTGAAATAGTGAAACATCACAAGTTATTGCGGGCAAGTTGCTAAAGTTGACATACTTTTGTCATGGGAGTGTAACTCCTACAAAAATTATCCAAGGAACCGTCCTGAATTTTGTTTTGTTTTCAATACAAGGGCCTCAGTGGGATTCACGCTTTGGGGTAGCCTAGTGGTTAATGCGTTTCCTTGTCACGCCGAAGATCCAGGTTCAATTCCCCACACGGTACAATGTGTGAAGCCCATTTCTGGTATCTCCCACCGTGATGTTGCTGGAATATTGCTGTAAACCCAAACTCACTCACTCTCTCACACACCCCTGTGGGATTCAGGGTCTCCAGCAACAAAATAGATCGGTTAGACTATGTGACATGGTTATATTCATATATGGGACAATACTTGTAATATCAGTCTCTGGTCTATCTGGCCTTTTGTTATAGCTTGTGATGAAGATTACTTATTGAACAAGTCACAGTGAATCCAAGTTTCCATAGCCCAGTAAAACCTGGATGTTTGTGTTTCAGATGCTGCCTTTACTGGGATGTGGGAGGATCTGTCGGGGGCATTTGAGGACTTCCTCTTCTCTAAAAAGTAAAGACATTTCTACAGACAGATTTCATGTTTTATCTTAAGTATAAACTTGATATCATCAGAAAATACTTTAAACGTATGAAATTGTGAATTTATCCAGAAGTACCAAGTTGTTTTTCTTATTGAGAACTGTAAAAGAAGTGGATTGAAATTTGTTATCCAGATTTTTAAACTCAAAAACAATATCGTGTGAAAAAGTGTATTACAGGAAACATACTATTGAAATAGATTTGTGGATTTCTACCTTTTGACCCTGTCTAAATTCTGAATATTTAAGAAGTTGGAAAGTGATATCCAAAAGATAGTGCTCTATGTTGTCAAATCTGACTGTAAGTTTATAATTAGGTGATGGCAGACATTAGAAACAGTTTTGCATTTAGTAATATTGTTTTCCTAATAACTGGCAAACAATTTTAATACTTCATTAACATTAGGTACTTCAATTTTAAACACCTGACAATTGTGTTTATTTATTTACATTACCTTGAGTTGAGTATCAACCTTGAAGTGTTGTGGTAGAGCTGATGTGAGAGGTATTTTATGATCACTTCAAGAACTACAGAATACCATACTGGCATGTTGTGGATAAGTCAGCATGGCAAGATCAGCAGATTTTACCTGTGCTTCATATGTCAATCTTTACCTGAAGCTAACAAAAGTGAATGTTTGCAGCCCATCACCACCCACACTGTCGGTCGAGGACTTTCAGCGGGACGAAGCCATTGATTGCAAGGTATGGTTTTAGGCTGCATATATAACATAAGTGTTTCTTGGGCACATTTATCTCAGAACAGATAGATCGGACAAGGTGTGGTGTTTGGTTGAATAAAAGACCCAGTTGTTTCCTTGGCACATTTCTTTTTTGAGACAGAGAGGAAGGGGTGAGACTCTTTTAATTTAAATATAATTTATTTTGAATTCAAAAAATAGAAACCAAACACTGTGACTGAGGAACTTTGTTTCTTCCCCAATAAAAATACCAGCACAAACAACTGCCTACATATTGAACTTGGCCCTTTAAAGTTGTGCTATTTGATTTCCACTTTATTGGCCTTTCATGGAATTAAGTACTTTTGGCTACACATTTTTTTTCATCAAATGTTATTAGCAACAACTATCAATGGGCAAGAAATATGCTTATAACAGTAATTCATTGTCAACCAATCCTTTGTGGTATATATTAGTGTAATATACCCTGTGTACGCAGGCCTGGCAAACAGATAATATATTGTGTTTTCAACAGGTGGTGCAGCTGATCCGAGACGACATCCTCCCTTACGCCAACAGCATGCCACAAGACTTCGTCGTGAAGGTCATGGACATCCTCAACAAGGGGTCAATTCATTCTGCTACATCTGATACTTTCATAGGTAGGTGCATCGTCCCAAATGTTCTTGCGACTACCATACTTTGTTTTCGCCATGATGATCCTTCTTACAATTGGGGGGCGGTGGGGTAGCCTAATGGTTAAAGCGTTGGCGCGTCACCCTGAAGACCCGGGTTCGAATCCCCAAATGGGTACAATGTGTGAAGCCCATTTCAGGTGTCCCCCACCGTGATGTTGCTGAAATATTGCTAAAAGCGGCGTAAAACCAAAACTCAGTCAGTCAGTCAGTCTTACAATTGGTCTTCAGCAACCAAGGGGCGGTGGGGTAGCCTAGTGGTTAAGGCGTTCGCTCGTCACGCCGAAAACCCGGGTTCGATTCCCCACATGGGCACAATGTGTTAAGTCCATTTCTGGTGTCTGATCTTGTCATCCGTGAAGGTCCAGGTTAGAATATTGATCTTCAGTAACCCATGCTTGTTGTAAGAGGTGACCAACAGGATCAGTGGTCAGGCTCGCTGACTTGGTTGACACATGTCATCGTATCCCAATTGCGTAGACCGATGCTCATGATGTTGATCACTGGATTATCTGTTCCAGACTCAATTATTTACAGACCGCTGCCATATAGCTGGAATATTGCTGAGGGCGGCGTAAAACTGAACTCTCTCTAATATAGACTGATCATCTATAGGATGCCCTTTCACATCTGGAAAGTTGAGTCCAGCAATAACAATTCATCATTTTAATGGGGTTGTTGAGGTAGCCTACTGGTTAAAGTGTTCACTTGTCCGGACGAAGACCCAGTGTAGCAGGCCATTTCTTTCCCGGTCTAAACTTTCCCCAGGGAGAATCTGGCCTCGGCCACACTTTCCCGGGGAAGTTTTGCCCTGGGATATTCTTACACTCCCCTTGTTTATACCAGGATATTTTGTTCTGTTTTCTATGAAAAGATTGCAGATTCTGGCCTAGCTAGGCTACTTCTTCCCCACCCTTTTTCTTATATCAAAAGGGGGTGATTCTGGCCTAGCTAGGCTACTTCTTCCCCACCCTTGTTCTTATATCAAAAGGGGTGATTCTGGCCTAGCTAGACTACTTCTTCCCCACCCTTGTTCTTATATCAAAAGGGGGAGATTCTGGCCTAGCTTGGCCACTTCTTTCCCACCCTTGTTCTTATATCAAAAGGGGGAGATTCTGGCCTAGCTAGGCTACTTCTTCCCCACCCTTGTTCTTATATCAAAAGGGGGAGATTCTGGCCAAGCTAGACCACTTCTTCCCCACCATTGTTTTTATATCAAAAGGCAAAGATTCTGGCCTAGCTAGGCCACTTCTTTCCCACCATTGCTCTTATATCAAAAGGGGGACAAGAAGTTATTACAAACATCAAACCAGCTGTAGTTTTGACTTAAATTTTTGTACACATTTTTGCCAAAGAGTCCATTCTTGCCTCTGACTTGGGTGTAGTGATTTGAATGCATACATGTTTGAATGGCATGTATCTCTAAATCCATCCTGCTCCTGCCGCCATTGCACATTGCATTAGTTCTTCATCTGTCCAAATCATGTCACCATAAGATGTAAACATTGAATCACACATTTGATGGGTAAATAAGACGTAATCTACACAGGTTGCTTGTTCTCTTATCATGCTGTTTAATATCTAATATTTGTTGTATTTATGTATAAATGTCATGGAACATAAGTCACAGAAGCTTGTTTATTAATCCATAATCACTTTTGGTGAATATGAAATATGTTTCAGATATCCATGGGCCAAGTATACACCTTATCAAACCTTGTCTTGTGAATTTAGAATAAGTCACTATAGTGGAATGATAGATGGATAATACAGCATTTGATAAAGATATTGTGTTGGGTTGTTGTTGTTGTGTTGATGTTTATGTCTGCTTCCACCTGTTAAGTTGATGCTCCAATATTTAAAGTCATGAGTTGGAGAATCAAATTTGGAATATGTATGGACATGCAAGTAAAAACTGGGTATTTAGTTAAAGTTTCGAATATGGTAATGATTTTGAGGTAAGCCAATTTGGAATAAGCAGGGATAAGTAGATTATTGAAATATAAAAATAATTAAATGATAGTATAAAACAATTGTAATAATATATTATATAATAAAGTAAAGATAAACTTTTTAATATTAAATCTTTTTTAATAATTTGGAATTAGGGAATTGTGTTGGGTCAGACATGATTACTTTTACCAGTGGTTTATATTTTAGTACTCATGTCACAGAGATACGTATAGATACAAAACTATTTTCTTTAATTTCATGTAAAGCTAAAGGGTTATCTGCATACATAACAATCAGGTTGATGTTTCACCCTTAATTCTTTGGTATTTAATTGAAAGAAATCATCCATACTATATCTACACCCAAGCAAACTGTTGATGGTCCTCCTTGTTCCCGCTATAGTGAACTTGTCTACTTATCTCTCTACTGGTCAGTACCCATCATCATTAGCTGATGTAGAAAGTCTTAAAGATAGAAAGAAGATCAAGAGACAACTCTGATCTCAAGCAACTGCATTCACGACCCAAGATGGCATGCTCTATCAAAAGGGATGTCGCATTCTTTCAAGACGAACATAAACATGAAAACATGGTTGGGCAAGAAATAGCCTAGCTAGGCCAGAATCTCACCCTTTTGGTATAAAAACAAGGGTGGGAAAGAAGTAGCCTCTAAAGTTGATTCAAGGGTGGGGAAACATTGGCCAAGGACAAACTTTCCCCGGGGGAAGATTAAGCCTAGGGAGGGAAAGTTTGTCCAAGGCCAAAGTTTCCACGTGGAAGGTTTGGCCAGGGAAAAAGTTTGGCCGGTTACAGTGGGTTGGATTCCCCACATGTGTACAGTGTGTGAAGCCCATGTCTTGTGTCCTCCACTTTGATATTGCTGGAACATTGGTAAAAGTGGCGTATAACTAACATTATAATTTTCATGAGAACTGTTTGAATGCTAAAAATTCTTTTGATTACCAGTGTGTAACAAGACTCCCCAATGTTGTAACATTCCCTCTTACAATACCCAAGTATAATGCGAAAAATATATTTCGCTGAAGCACAGAATTTCTGCAGTGTCATCTGTTTCAGATACAGAATCTAGTCGTAAGCTGCGAGAGGATTTTGCCAAGACTTGTTTTGAAACCCTTCTCCAGTTCTCCTTCGTCAACAAGAAGTCCGAGTCCGAGGAAGGGTCCATCACAAAGCTGGCTGTTCTGTCTCTACTACAGAGGTGTCAGGAGGTCGTCAAGAAGTACGTAGAGGATGAGAGGCTCAGCGGGAAGTGTCCTTTACCCAGGTAAGACAACTCTTGTAGGCCAACCATTCCATGATTTGAATGTGTGAGTGCAGATTTTATGTAGTTGTTGTTGCGATTTATTGGAATAATCAAACATTGGTCACAGTGACCAAATGACCAAGTGAGTGAGTTTAGTTTTACGCCGCAGTAAGCAATATTCCAGCTAAATGGCAGCGCTCTGTAAATAATTGAGTCTGGACCAGACAATCCAGCATTCAACAGCATGAGCATCAATCTGCGTAATTTGGAACCGATGACATGTGTCAACCAAGTCAGTGAGCCTGACCACTGATCCCTTTAGTCGCCTCTTACGACAAGCATGGGTTACTGAAGATCAATATTTTATTTTTATGTTTTCTTAAATTTTATTTGAGTTCTTTATGATGCTTATAGCTTGTACATGTATTACGTGAATACTGGAACAGAATTTTTTTTATGGATCTGACTGAAAAATTGTACAAAGTTCATAATAGTCATAATGTTACCAAACAGTCAAAGTAATGTTTGTTTTCAGCATCAGGTAACATAAGGAATTGTTATCATTGGATTTCTTTTTCAGGCCAAGACTAGCGGAGATGTCCTCGGTTCTCAAGGCCATCACAACATTGCTCCAGTCTCTCAAGAGGGCTCCAGTCAAAAACAGTGAGTTGGGTCGTTGAGTCAGACACCTAGTGACTGTTCGTGTTAATTTCTTTTTCAAATCCTGATTTATCATGTAATTTTGAATTTAAATATGAAAAATACCAAATATTTCAGTCAGTTTAACACCTTAACACTTGAAATCTGAGAGATTCGTTTTTGTTTCTTTTGTCTGGTACAAAAACATGTGACAAGGCCTTAATAGTTATCTCCCTTGACGATGACCAACAGTACTCTGCATAGGCATAGCCAGAAACACACAGAATCGCAGCTTGCAGCAGGATACTTTGCGAAAAGCATCCCTTTCACATGCCCTTTCGTAGCTGCAACACTGCACATTAGATACATGCCCCATTAGATATATGTTGTAAACATTTGAGAAATATTTAACAAATTACCTCCCTTGTATTTCCAGTAGAGGGCAGCGTATGGCAGCAGGTGATTCAGTTGTTCCCTTCTCTGGTGGAGTGTACCACCTCGTCCTCCCCACAGGTGTGCAAGGCTCTGAAGGAGGCGCTACACAAGTACCGGGACCTGCTGGCTCCTCCGAACCCCACCGTCCATAATGGAATGTACCAGAAATAGTGTCACAGTGTCCTAGTGATGTCTGTAAGATCTTGTGCCCCTTGACCGATACAGTTTCAGTCAGATGTTGAGTCAACAAACCAACTTTTATATTGTCTAAAAACAGAAACAAACAGAAATAAATCTATTTCATGACTGAAAAATTACTTGCGGTTTGTAATGTGGAGGTAATGATCGATTGAGTCACATGCTTTTCTTTATTTTCTTTGATTCACAAATTTACAAGTGTTCTTTGCATTTGATAGACAATTTGGATATTAAAGGACCATAAGCAGAAGCAAATATTCAATTGATTCAGCAAGCAAATCTTCTTGGTATAAGATCCTTTGGATTAGTAAGAATTGAAGTGTTTCAATCAACATGTTTTCTGATCCTGCGAAACTTATGAATGAAGATGACTCAACCTTATGTTAGAGCAAGGGTAATCATCATAAGACTCTACTGAACTGTTCCGTCATGGTTCCAAGACAACTGTAACCTAATCAACTGTCTTTCATAACTGTATGACCTTCAAAATGTACTGCTAGACAAACTTAAGAAAACAGTTTTGGACAGTATGCGTTTCAAGTGCAATGGAAGAATGCATTTCATAAAACAGGGCTGCCCGGTGCATGCCGTGTTCATGCAGTGTTGACTGATCCATAAGCGAGTGGGGTGGTGTGGGGTGTGTGTGTGTTTGGGGTTGGATAGCCTAGAGGTTAAAGCGTTCGTCACACCGAAGACCCTGGTTCGATTCCCCACATGAGTAGTGTGTGAAGCCCATTTCCGGTGTCCCCCGCTGTGATATTGCTGGAATATTGCTAAAAGCATCGTAAAAACACTCACTCACTTCCCCATGTGTAAGGGGCAGTGGGGTAGCCTAGTGGTTAAAGCGTTCGTTCGTCACGCCGAAGACCCGGGTTTGATTCCCCACATGGGTACAGTGTGTGAAGTCCATTTCTGGTGTCCCCCGCTGTGATATTGCTGGAATATTGCTAAATGCGGCGTAAAACTGAACTCGCTCACTCCCCATGTGTAAATCAAATCCTGTTGTTATCGGACTCATGGGTTTGTAGATCCAAGGTTTCAGTAGTCCAGTTGTGTTTTCTTAAGTTTCTTTAGCAGTAGAAGGATTGTGAACATATTTCTCCTGTACAGATGTGCATCTGTGTGTATGAATCACTCAAAATGTATTCTCATTAACATGTTCTGTAATGACTTTCAACATATGCATGGCAAGTTCTACAATACACAGACTCAACTGTAATTTGTTCCTACATACTGAGCGGAGGTGGGCTAGCCTAGTGGTTAATGTGTTTGCTCGTCACACCAAACACGGGTTCGATTCCCCACATGGGTACAATATGTGAAGCCCATTTCTGGTGTCCCTCGCCGTGATGTAACTGGAATATTGCTAAAAGCAGCATAAAACCATACTCACTCCTACATACAGAATGTCTGAATGATGCACTGTGGGTTTTCAAAACAATGCTGTATATGATGTAGTAAAGTTTACCCACAAATCCTGCATAGCAGCACATAGCAACTGAACAAAATTCATGTCACATGTGCTGTCTTTGTTTGTGGAAGGTGCAATGCGCAAGTAACAAGGTTACCACGGTAACTACACATACTAATTTGGGAAACTGTCTCTGAATGTAACATTTATTTATGTTGAATTAGCATTAAGTTTTACATTGATATGATGAAGATTAATATTAATTATTTTTTGTTTGTTTATGGGTATGCAAAACAGCAACATGATTTTTTAAAATATTTTTGGGATATTTCTGACTGATTTGGGAAATAAGAAGTTAACATATTATATCACTGAAATTAGATTACCGGATGTTTAAAAAAAGGACTCCGTGTGAAATAACTGCAGAATATGAAGTGATGTAGACTGACTACAGTTATGGCCTTTTGATGTGACAGTATCAGTTGTGCAGTTATTTTGGCAGGAAGTTAGCAACAATTATGCTCCTAATAAGTGCAGTCAAGGGGCATTATTTATGATACGTTCATTTGGGGACCTTTTTAATTTTGAAATTAACATTGTTAAAAAAAAATTAAATCTAATTACCCACAGAAAAATAATATATTAGCCTTGTAGCCACCTCATTTTAATCTCAATGTAAAACAATTATGTTGACATACAAGGACATTATTTTGAAAAATATGTAGCTATTTTTGTGTTCCCTTAGCTATCTGCACCTTCTTCATGCGAGGGATTAACCGATATAAAAAAAAACTATTACTTTTTTGTGTTATTGAAGAAAAATGGTATTTTCAAGCAGCATCCTAATGTGTTAATTTCACGCTCTTCACAATTGTACATTGTTTATTTCACGCACTTGCTTTGTACCCCACGCCTTAATGAACATTATTTTGTATATTTACTCAGCAACTGTAAAAAAAACCTTGGATGCTATCATGTGTAAAAATTTAACAATTCTAAGATGTTAATAATGAATGTTTGTATTTATTATAATTTGTAAACCGAGATCTGAGTTTGTTTATTCCATGGCTTCTTTAAACAGTTTTGTCTGATTCCACAGTTGTCTGTGGATCGTTTAGAGGGGGAGGGGAATTCTAGAAGTTGGGCACCAGTGTAATCAATCGCATTGAAATCAGTTCTTTGTTCTGCTACTGAACAACATTGGAGGATATCTCATTTCAGGTCTCATCAGAGTGAAATCACCCACTGAAATGTACAATAAGTCATCAGACTAAGCTTTAGTTCAGTTTTCACATTTTGAATCAATAAATTTGAATATATTCAAAGAACATCCCAAAATGTGCAATGTAGGGCAAAGAATGCATAGTCCTTGGCAAGTACTGCCATACAGTCTCTTCCTTTATTGCCCAACAATGGGATAACATTTCAACCATTTTGACTAAATCTGTTGTACAGCCATAGTCCATTGCCATGCAAACCTTTTTTAACATGGGGGGAAAATGTTATTTCTAATCATGCAAACTGGTAAGCACACATTTACTTGAAAAGTTCCGACTTGACCTGAAATGGGATGTGCTTGAACCAGTGTTTTCAGTAAAAAGACCTAAGATCTGACTTCAATGGATTGCCAATATTGTGGTCTAATTGGGCCGAGTTTTTAAAAAACATTTTATTGCCTTTGTTGATTATTAATGAAGCTTAATTTCATCTCTCAATAAGTTGAAAGGAAGTAAGAAATTGGTGAAAATATTTGCAATGGCCCTTGGTCACAGAATAGATCAACATGGGGGGATACATATTTTTTTCCAAAAATATTGTAACATGAAGATTATATGTACAGAAATAATGTATGTTTACTTTGTAAAACAGGACGAAAATCAAAATGTTGACTGCTCAGAAGTTACTGAACCCGATTCATAGGAACGAATCACTTTCTAGATAACTTCTTTTTGGTATAATTAGATGTTTTAACACTAGTTAGCTATGCACGCACTTTATATTTGTAAGTGTATGATATCAGATGGTTACAATCAATATTGTCAGCAAGTTATCAACTTATTTTTGCTCAAAGAAGTGGCAGTGGTCATTTCTTTGCCTGTTTATTCAAGAGCTGTACAAACAAGTCTGTGGATTGTCTGTATAATGTTGCACAGTGTCAAGAGGGGAAGGGTTTTTATGTGGTTCTTGTATCATAATGTGGTCGGTAGAAATAAATTTTTCTACATAATGATGTTGCATTGATTCCATTCTTTAAAGATAGCTTTCCGGTCATTTCAAGGGACCATGATGCCATCGGTCCAGTTTTTCCTGGATCATCATAGTCTGCAGTTGTGTTTGCAACAGATTTATGCAAATAGCAAAACCTTGGCCCGTTTCACAAAGCTATCGTAGCACTACGACTGTCATACCTCCGATACTGTAACAGGACAGTCTTAACGTTAAGTTTTGTGAAATGGGGCTGTGTTTAACCCAAATGTGCCTTTATGGAATCTGTTTTGATGGACTGTAAAGACCGTTTCTCCTTTGGTGCCGATACCTTTCATGATTACATGCTAGTTTTAAATGTTCATCTGTATATTTATTCATTGACATATTTATTTTGACGAAGTTTATTTTAGATGGGGCTCTTATTGTATCTATATGGCTGAAATACTCCTAATGTGACTTTAAATTCTAACTCACTCTTTGCTGCTGATGTTTTGAATTTATGAATGGTCATTGACTGGGCCAGACAAACTCAGTGTACAACAGACGTGATTTACGATCAAAATTGACACAAACATGGATCTGCACAACGGGGACGTTTACATAAATCTGTTGCAAATTGTTAGTTCTGCATTGTAGAATGAAGACCGACATTTTAATGTAACTCCTCGGGCACTCTTCAAACAAAACAAGTCCATCGAATAGGCATATTTTTTTTAATTGACATTTTATTTCTGAAACCCTGTTACAAAAATGGACCCTCACCCAGGGAAGGAAAGGGCCCAATGACATTTATGATTTAATGTGAAGACAAGTTTCAGGTCTTTTTTTATGCATAACTAAACACACAGACACACCCGCATTCACACCCAGTCATACAACTGCACACACGAAGATGATTGTAAGTCAAGTAATTAATGATACCCCCCTCTATTCTCGCAGTACAAAATTGTGAAGTAGAGCGAACAGTTTCCACAAAAAGATGTCATGTCATACACTTTCACCTCTCCTTTTAGGGGTGGTGGGGTAGCCTAATGTTAAAGCTTTGGCTCGTCATGCCGAAGACCCAGGTTCGAATCCCCACATGGGTACAATGTGTGAAGCCCATTTCTGGTGTCCCCTGCTGTGATGTTGCTGGAATCTTGCTAAAAGCAGCGTAAAACCAAACTCAGTCAGTCAGTCAGTCACCTCTCCTTTTGACGGAATACATCTATAGCTGCTGCTGATTTTTATTATTATTATTATTAAATTTATAATGTGCTAAACCCCATTCACTAGGTGAATGCTCATAGCGTTTACAGTCGGTGTAAACATGTCAGTCCAAACAGTATAATGTATAGCAAAATCAACATCCTTCAATATACCAAGTCATGACAATTTGTCTATAAGAATTCGCTGAGCCAATTCATTAAAGATTGGTCAAGCCCTGACATTATCTGCATTCAGCAATACCACACATTTGCCTGGCCCTAATAATGGAAGATTTCAGGGTAAATAAAATAAATACATATGTCGAAAGCTACTTCAAACCCTCTTTACAGATCTGAAGCAGTTGACTTTGGTGAAGCCCCGTTGGGTACACAAAATACAAAAATGGCACTATGAGGTGTTTACATGAAAGAGGTGGTGAGGTGAAATTGGGTTTAACGTCGTGCTTGAGAATATTTCGCTCATATGTTGACGTGCATGCGTCCCCATGAATGCATGAATACCCCACTCAGACACATTATACTGACTCCAAGCTGACCAGTCCTTGTTGTACCCATTAATGCCGAGAGCCAGGCAAGGACCAACAAGTACCATATTTTAACGTCTTTTGGTATGACGCCAGGGATCGAACCCGCGACCTTCCGCTCTCTGGGCGGACGCTCTAACCACTACACCACGGAGGCGGTACCCCACTCAGACACATTATACTGACTCCGAGCCGACCAGTCCTTGTTTTACCCGTTCATGCCGAGCGCCAGGCGAGGAACAACATGTACCATACTTTAGCGTCTTTTGGTATGACGGAGCTGGGGATCGAACCCTGACCTTCCGCTCTCGGGCGGACGCTCTAACCACTACACCACGGAGGCGGTACCCCACTCAGACACATTATACTGACTCCGAGCCGACCAGTCCTTGTTTTATCCGTTCATGCCGAGCTCCAGGCGAGGAACAACATGTACCATACTTTAACGTCTTTTGGTATGACGGAGCTGGGGATCGAACCCGCGACCTTCCGCTCTTCGGGCGGACGCTCTAACCACTACACCACGGAGGCGGTACCCCACTCAGACACATTATACTGACTCCGGGCCGACCAGTCCTTGTTTTACCCGTTCATGCCGAGCGCCAGGCGAGGAATAACATGTACCATACTTTAACGTCTTTTGGTATGACGGAGCCAGGGATCGAGCCTGCTACCTCTCTAACCATTACATCACGGAGGCGGTTATTGCATAAGGGGCAATTAAGGTACTGACAATTATTTGAGGAAATATGGTATGTATAACTAAGATCAGTTTTTACAAAATATCACAATGTTCAAATATATTAAAAATATGTAAGCACCTGGGTATTTTAGGAATTGAAATATTACACTGAAATTGAACCAAAATACGTCTTGGCTCATTGGAGTTTGTCTAATTAATCACACTTTCAATGAATCATTGTATCATTTGCAGAATTCTAGGCATGCCATTAGGACACTGAAAATATTTCGTCCATGCCATTTTATGCCATTAGTTTCCATTCCATGACATGCAAATTAAGCACCATTTCCATCAATAAAGTCAAAAATACAACATGTGATCAACATATACATGATCAACATTGATGAACAAACAAAAAAATCCCTGAGATTTAGTGTCCATTAACTACAACAAGTCCTGGTTCCTCTCCTTGCCATTTCAAGCCTACAGTTCTTGGCTAAATCAAAGGCCAACACTAATTGTGACCCTGGTAATGAACCCTTGACAAACAATTTGACTGATCTTCACAAAGATGACTAACGTATATGACCATAGATAAGCCGAACTTTGAGGACCTAAAAGAGCTGTCTGTAGGGAGGGACCGGCTTATCAACAGGTTACACTTTCATACTTTTTTTCTGGTGATAAGAAGATGACATCATGATTTTGAATGCTGTGAATATTGCCTACCGAAGTTCTAAGTATCAGAGGGACACAAGTTTTCATCGCAGTTATTATATATATTTTTGAATGACAATTATAAATTTAATAAACTTCATAAACTGTACATAAAGGTTTTACACACAAGTCCATATGTGCAAAGAACATGTTTTACTACGACATAGTGTAAAACAGTGGCTTAATCCTATATGTATTTGATACTCTATTTCCAATGACTGATCATGATGAGAGGATGAACGAAGTTGGTGGTTCGGCTTATGTACGGGACATACCATTTTGATACTGATTTTTAGGGTCAAGTTAGGACTTTGACTTATTTATGTGAGGTGAAATTGGGTTTAACGTCGTGCTTGAGAATATTTCGCTCATATTACGACGTGCATGTGTATATATGTGTATGTGCAGCTGCTTCCACTAGCCCAGACTGAAGCTGGTTTTATAGTAATAGCCCACTGAGATACCATGCCGCAGTAAAGCATGAATACCCCACTCAGACACATTATACTAACTCCGAGCCGACCAGTCCTTGTTGTACCCATTAATGCCGAGAGCCAGGCAGGAACCAACAAGTACCATATTTAACGTCTTTTGGTATGACGCTGTCGGGGATCGAACCCGCGACCTTCCGCTCTCTGGGCGGACGCTCTAACCACTACACCACGCACGGAGGCGGTCGACTTATTTATGAGGACAGCTCGTAGGGTAATATACGGTAGCAAAGAAGACAACCAGGGCCTAGATTTTCGAAGCTCTCTTAGCGCTAAGATAGTCGTAAGTTAATGTAAATGTATGGCAGTTATGGCTGTCTTCATGCTAAGAGAGCTTCGAAAATCTAAGACTAGGGTTCTATTGTACTGGGCCAGCTTAGCTCTATGTTAAGGTATGGGAGTTAGGATGATCTTAGCACTATAATCGCTTATTACAGCAGCACCATGATCAATAAGGTAACAATGATTTGGTTCTTCATCCTTGAAAAACAAAGCAACAGTCTGCCATAGTAAAGATGCCGTAACCTAATTTATAACTTGCTTATAACAGACTGGATATTTTAGTCAAATTGAATCTAAAAAAAATATGGTTATGAGAAACTAAAATTTGAGATCCCTTTTGAATTATTTACACTCGGAAGTTTACTGTACATGTAATTACTGAATTTTGGTATTTGAGACATACAGAGTATACTGTACAAACTGGTGAGTGTGTTCTTAAGCTGATTCTAACAATATTCCAACAATATCATGGCTGGGGACACAGAAATGGGATTCAAACATTGTACCCATGTGGGGAATCAAATCCGGGTGCTCGGCGTGACAAGCGGACCTCTTTAACCACTAGTCTAGCCCACCGGCCCTGTACAAAGTAACACTGAACTTTCAGTTACATGAACTGCAAAGCAGGGGTTTGTCTAATTATAGTACTGCATTGCAGGCATTTCATCTGCATTCTAGAAGTTGGTGAGGCAATAATGAAGCATACATCTTTATGGAAAACAACTTTTTGTTTATAGCATACAGGGATAGAAATACTTTTTTTTCTAAGTGTGCCATAGGGCACCAGGCAAATATTTTAGGTGTGCCTTTCAGAAATCAAGTGTGCCCACATGTTTTTAGAATGAATGACCGTAGCAAGGATGATGATCTTTTGAAATGTATTGTCAAAAAACAACAAATGTAACCTGTTTTCTGTTATCACTGATATGTCTTCTGTCTAAGATAGCTTTCTTATCTTTCATATGTTCTGCTTTTCCCACCTTCCTTAAATAGGTAAGAATTGTGTGAGAGGTTATCTTGTTCAACATATCTTACATACACAATTTCCAACTGAACTATTACTACTCCCAACACTCTAAATGAGAAAAACAAAACAACAGATTTCTTTATATCATCTATCATAATTCAAGTGATTTCCTGGACCAGAAAGTCAATAAATGTGTTTGCTTGTTTGTCATTTGCTTAGTGTTTTGTTTCGGGATTAAATGACTAAAGGTGTCTCTAAAATAATTAAGCTTGCCATAAGGGCACCGAGGACATTTTTTACCCGTGCCATTTCAATATTTACCGTGCCATGGCATGCTAATATATATGGTATTTCGAACCCTGGCATAGTTACACTTAGCTTCACAGTGGTGTAAGAACCTACACAGAAACGTTGCTTTGTGCAATAAACAAGAAGTTGTTATCCATAAAGTCGTATGCTTCATTATTGCAGTTCAGTCATTGTGAAAAGACAATGAAGTTTGCACTCAAATACATACAAGTACTTGGGCAAGTTGATGAAAACTTAAACTACTTTGAAAATATTCATCTTCTCCTACATTTCTTGAATAATTTCATTGAAAATATAACAAGCAATACCTGTTGGCATTATAGCGACCCCTTTTCAGTCCTCTGATGTTGATTTTCTATAATATTGTCTGATTTGATTATGAATAGGTGACTTTTTTTATATGATAGCAGAGAAATGTAGGCTTGAAATTGTAGGGTAGAAACTATTCTTTGATATAGGCTAGTGGACATGCTTGTCTTGGAGAAACAGTTAAATAGTACCACTTATATATACCGATGCATGCCTGCATGCACATAAAGCAACACTCTATCTGATTGAAGATAGAGGTTAGATTTGGTCTCCAGCAACCCATGCTTGTCCTGAGAAGTGAGTAACAGGATCAGGTGGTCCGGCTTGCTGACTTGATTGACACATGTCATCGTACATCAGTTGACTAGATTGATGTTCATGCTGTTGTTCACTGGATTGTCAAGCAGAGACTTGATTATTTCAGATCACGACAACAAAGCTGGAATATTGCCAAATGCTACATTAAACAACAAACAAACAAAAACATGTGCAAAAAACATGACATCCCTTCAGTAGCATGAAAATAACTTCAACTGCTTCGGACGTTCTTTTTCGCTGTGAGAATCAGACCGCAGCAATGTTCCAGCTATTTGTAAATCCATATCTGAGTCTGGACAAGACAATCCAGTGACTGAAACTGAGCATTAATCCATACCATAGGTGACGATGGTCAACATGCACTGAATCATATCGACCCTGACAACATGATCCATTTAGTCACAATAGGCTGCTGGGCACCTATATTCTTCCCCGGGAATCTACTTTGAAAGGAATTCATTGACATTTGTTTAAACTAGTGCACACTAGTGACACCAACTTTGGCACTATTTCTTCTTGTTCCCACATCTGGGAAATGGGAAGCATATTATTTTTCTTTTTGATTTCTTCTTCCTCTCATCCTGAAAAAAAAGGTCCAATATGAGCATGTGGAAAGGTGAAATAGGGTTAAAGCCGAGCACTGTATTTGAACGTTTTTTGGTATGACGCGGCCGGGGATCAAACCCGCGACCTCCTGCTCACCGGGCAGACGCTCTAACCACTACACCACGGAGGCGGTCAATATGAAGACGGGTAGACTTTACAGAAAAAGAATCTAAATCTCAAAAGAATCTAAATATCCAATGAAGTAGTGGAGAATATTATCCATGCAACTTATGATGGATGGTTGACAGTGAATAGGACTTCTGTTGAAAATATAAAGACTGTTATTACATAATGACAGCCAAATTACAGAATATGTAATTTTCTGACTAAAATTGATATTTTATACTTAGCCTGACTCATGCTAAATGCTTGTCTCCTTCTTCATGAGAATGATAGTGGAACACTTGAAATCCCTTGAAGTTCCCTTCTAAAAAAGCGGACGTAAAATCATCACTCACCCACGAGTAGTCTCCCTTGCCTCCTTTGGCGCCCTTTTGTGTCACATGACCAGCCATGTTTGTCACTCTCTCCGTATGTATGCCCGACACCCGGATTTACAGGGAAAGGAGAAAGAAGGAAGGAGAACCCACAACTTGTCAAATTTCTTCCGATACTTCTCCTGACATTTTCGTGTGGATTTTAGATATACTAATGTTGAATTAGTTATCTATTGCAACTCCATCTCCATCAAGTGGAGATACGACCCTTCTTCATTTACGAGATAGTCCTATACAAGTACAGGGCCTATCACTCATGCTAGCCTGTCCTAGACATGTGCATGGACTTTAACCATTTGCTCTCCAGAGAATTGGTTTTCACAAGTCACGTGATAGAAGGGTGAGATTTTTCTCAGCGCCTTTGTGGAACCGTTAGTTGTTGTGCTACAACAAGTGCCCCTAACTGGTGAATGCCTGAGACGTCTCCGGTGGCAATGTCTCTGAGGTAGTGGTTGGCAAACCCCGTGTCCGATTTCCAAAAGCAGCCCTCCATTATTGTTGTAATCGAGCAGTTTCCATGCACAGCAAGTGTAGATGCCAAGGCTTTGACTTCGTGGGGATTGGAGGCTCGTGGAGGCTCAAGTCCTGCTGCTTTGTAGGCCCTTAGTATGACAGCTCTCATCCATATCGATATCGTTGTCCGTGAGATTTCCGTGGGCGTCTCGGAGGATAAGGGGATGAATAGGCGCTTGAATTTTCGTCTCCTTGTTTTTGTCCTTTGTAGGTAGACTTTTAGTGCTCTGACAGGGCATAAGGATAAATCCTGTGTATCCTGTGGCCCAAGGACTGTAGAGAGTGCTGGGATGTGGAACTGTCTGTCAGGCTGGCCGGGCAGTTGGTTCTTGGCAATAAAGTCCCATCTCAGTCCTAGATGTACGATGTCACAATGTCTTGATTCAAATCGTGTTCGTTCAAAGTCCAGAGCATGTATTTCTGACATCCGTGCTGCTGTTGCTAGGGCGATCATGAACAGCGTTTTCTGTGTCAGTAGTTCAAAGGATGTCCGTTCTAGAGGCTCGTAGGCGTCACTGGTGAGATGTTGTAGAACTATGTTGAGATCCCAGGCAGGAGCCTTGAATTTTTTTGTTGGTCTTCCAACTTGAACAAGCGTAGTAGTGCCAGTATCTTTGGTACTTTGGTCAGCTTGACACCCGTCTTCATGGTGATAACTGTGCTGAGAGCAGCCAGGTACGTTGAGAGTGTTGAACCTTTTAAGTGTCTCGTCTGTCGCAAATGACACAGATATTCCGCCACTTGAGGATGGGTTGCTTTACCGCTGTAAAGCCTTTCCTCGTTGCATATTGTTCAAATCTCAGCCACTTGTCTTCGTATAAGTTGTGAGTTGATCTGCGTGGAGCTAGTGTCACTGCTTTCGCTGCTCTGGCGGAGTACCCTCTAGTCTTCAGACAAACTTTGATACGCTCCACGCGTGTAGCTGGAACAATGCCAGATTCCCGTGAGCTTGCTTGGTGTGTGGATGGACAAGCTGGTTCGACCACTCTGATTGTTTCAGGGTTAGATGAGTTCTTGTATGAGGACAGGAAACCATACCCTCGCTGGCCAAAAGGGTTCAACCAAAATCAGTTGCAACGTTGTCGTCTGCTTGATTTTCTGTATTACTTGTGGTAAAAGTGCTGGAGGTGGAAACGCATAAGCGTTTATTTCTTCCCATGAGATGCTTAAGGCGTTTTTTGCCCATGCCTGAGGATCCGGAATCGGTGAGACGAATGTTGGTAGTTGCTTGTTGAACTTAGTTGCAAACAGGTCTATCAGTGGAGATCCTACTGACTGTATGCCGAACCGGAACACTTCTGGATGTAATATCCATTCCATCGGGGATGGTTGTAGTGGACGAGATATTGCGTCTGCTATGACTTTCTTTGCTCCTGGAATGTGGCATGCCTTCATGTAGATGTTCAGGTCGTCGATGATGCCGAACAGGAGAAAGCTGAGTTTTAGCCGACTTGTTGATCTTGTTGGCCCTTGTTTGTTGATGTAGAATGCTACTGTGGAGTTGTCCATGTGGACCGTGAGTCTTGCGTTCCTTAGTACGCTGGACCAGTGTTGTAAAGCTTTGATCACTGCTTTGATCTCCAACAGGTTGGTGTGCAGACTCTGATCCTGACTCAACTTCCCTGCTGCCACTTCTTTGTCGAGGTGGGCACCCCATCCTTGTAGTGATGCATCCACGTAGAGATCGAGTGTTGCAAACCTGCTCTGACAAAAAGGTTCCTCCGCAAACATTCGACTTCTGAGTCCACCATAGGAGGTATGGTTTCAGGCTGTCTGGTAGTATCAACGGATCCAGACTGTCGAGATGGGCGTTCACAAATATTTGTAGTTGGCGCAGCTGTAATCTCCCTCTGCGAGTCATGTCTTGAGCTGAGGTGAGTAGACCAGGCATACTTTGCCAAGCACGTAGTGTCAACGGAGAGAGCATTGCTTGAGATATCATATGTTGTATATTGACACAACGATCTTCTGGGACGACTATTTGATTCACCGCGGCGTGATGAGTCTTATTCCTAGAAATTGAAGATTCTGTTTCGACACCAGTTCCAACTTGAGGAGATTTACCAGCCATCCTAACTGAGTGAGAAGCCTGATGGTGAAGTCTAGTTGCAGTCTGTGTTGACTTGGATCTTGATGAACTTGAATTCTGTCGTCCAGGTAAAAAGCACTGCGTAGACCTCGACGATGTAGATATGTGACGATGGGCTTGGTCACTCGAGTAAACAACCAGGGGGCCGACGATATTCCAAACGGTAGAACCTTCCACTGGAAGTGATGTCCGTTGAAAAGGAATCTTAGGTATTTCCTTGAGTCTGGATGTATCGGGATGTGTAGGTACGCATCTTGTAGATCTATGCTGGCGAGGTAGTCTGCTGGACGAACAAGATGTCGGAGCTGAGGAAGATGTATCACCTTGAATTTTGCTGGTCTGCGCGGAGATACTCCCAGTTGAACTTCCTCATATTGTAGATGAGTCGAAACTTCTCCTTGGAATTCTTCTTCGGTACTAGGAAAATTGGGGAGTAAAAAACGGGCGTTATGACATCTTGATTTATCTCTTCTACTGTATCTTTGTCAAATAGAGTCTTGATTGCGTCGTCCAGTTTCTCTGTCTGGTCGGCTGCGTAGTTGAAGGCCAGCGGGTTGCTTGTAAGCGGCAGAGTGGTTTCTAACTGTATCTTGTACCCTCTGCATAGTATCTGGGATACATAGTCGTCCTGTAGTATTCCCCAATTCTCCCAGTACCGTTGAAGACGTCCACCCACTGTCGAAGGTTGTACAGGAACGGCTGGGGGTGGAAGACTCCAGTTGTTCCAAACCTGTCCTTCAGCGCTTGGTTCCCCTTTCACCCCTGGGTGCTCGGCCTCTTCCTGGGTTGCTTCAGGGGGCTCCGGTTGGGCGACGAAAAGAATCTCTTCCTCCTCTCGAGTTGGAATATTTCTTTTCTCTGGCTCTCTGGACTCCTGCAAACTTGGATTTGTTGGAGTAGCGCTGGGACGTCTGGCGAATCACATTTGCCAAGGTATCTATGGACTTTATCATCATAACCTCCCTTGATTCGTGTGTAACCTCTTTGGCGACTTCTTCAATTCCTCCTCCGAAGATGGATGATGCTGACCATGGGACTCTGTATAAGGACTTGGTGAACCGCTCACTCCAGGTGCACGCTGACAACAATCCTTGCCTCCTCAGGAGAGTCAGGCCCGCTGATGTGGATGCTAGATGCTCAGACATAAACTGGTGGTCCTTTTTCTGAGTCAGTAGAGCAGAATATATCATCCGGTCGTCTTCGGCGGTGGAGTTCTTAAACTTCGAGATCAGGGCTTCGTTGATAGCCCTAGATCTGGCTAGTCTGAAGAAGGTACATCTAGTAGTCGTATCTGGTTGCGCTAGTTTCTTGTCCTCTATCTTGTAAGTTCTATAGCGGGAGTCGTTGATGATCTTGTAGTCCTCATCAATCTCTGGTGCCTTCAGGGATGTGATGTAAGGGGAATCTCCTGGCGTTAAATGTCGGGATATGTTGATTCTGGAACTTGGTAACCTTTTCAAAGGCTGAGCTGAGACTGTCCCGTACTTGGGAGATCGAGTCAATAGGCGGAGTGAGTCTCTGTATGACGATCTGTATGACGAACTGCACGCAGGTGAACGATCCTGATGTGATCGTGTATCCTTCCTGGAGTCTTGAGATCTTTCTCTAGGCCTTCGTGAAGGTTGATTCTTAGGCATAGTTTCCCCTCTGTGAGCTGTGGAGTGCCTGCGTGCAGGTTCCCGATGTGTGTCTGAGTAGGGTTCGGGAGAACGCTTCGATCAGCTTCTGCGTGGAAAATTCTTAGCGGCTCCTTCAGAGACATCTGAGGCTGAGCTGACGTTGGTAGCGTTGTCCAGGCTCCTAATTTAAGATTGGGAAGATCGTCGGTTGCGTGAGCCTTCACGCAGGATTCCCTCTTCTTCCAAGTGCGTTGGAGAGACTGCTGAATCTTCACGCAGGCTAGTAGTCATCGTAGTACTAGCTTCGTAGCAGCTTTCTCCTGCGCGAAGTGACGTTCCATCATCGCCATCATCTGGTCTGTAAACTGATGCACAAACAGCCCCGGGTTGAAGTTCTGCAATGTCTGATGAGACTGCTGCAGGGTTGATGATGCTTCTGACAACGATGAGGCGTCTTCTAAGGCACGCTGCACTTGTGAAGAGTTTACGCTGCTGCTATCTCTGGTACCCGATGTCTGCGTTGATAGAAGGTCTTCTGTCAAAGTCTGCGCGATAAAGTTGCCCATGTAGATGTAGAAGCAGGCTTTGTCTTCTTGCTGACGACTGTGACTTCAGGTATGAGGATGGGGGGGATCATCATACATGTCTACTTCTTCCAGAGGTACAATCTCGGCAGAGAAGGATCTCGTCTTCTGCGTAGAGCTGTGTAGAGACTTCGACGAAGTCTTAGAGGTTGTAGCCTTCTTCTTCTGCGTTGAAGTCTTTAAGTCTTCTTCGACTACGAAGAGGTCAGCTCCATTGACGGCGATCTCTTATTGGCTCTAGAGTTCATAACTGGAACAACGACCTGCCCCCATAAAATGCTCTGCAATTCACTGAAATTATGAACATCAGCAGCAGTAGTTAACACATGGTTATCAGTGCAATCACTCGATTTAGACATGACTTGTGAATACAATCCTAAAAACCCGTATACAGCAATAATTTTGATGTAACGGTTCAAAAGAGAAAAGGATATGTGCCGTATAGGGACCCAGGTGCTCTCACAACCGTCCTCAAGGGCGAAGAAGGAGAAAGTGACAAACATGGCTGGTCATGTGACACAAAAGGGCGCCAAAGGAGGCAAGGGAGACTACTCATAGGTGAGTGATGATTTTACATCTGCTTTTTAGAAGGGAACTTCAAGGGATTTCAAGTGTTCCACTATCATTCGCAAGAAGAAGGAGACAAGCATTTAGCATGAGTCAGGATAAGGAAAAATTAATAATGTTGTAAGGTAGGTTACGATCTGTTTGACTGGCATTTTAGAAGCTGATGAGTACCAACAAAATTACCATGCAACATTTTGTAACCGATTCTTACACCATGCACTGTTGCTTGGCAATGGTATAAGTATCCATACAGAACATTAACAAGCTAACCAAAATTATCTTTCCTTTAGTGGTAGATTATTAGTTGTTTAACAAAGTTGTCAAGAAAACAGCATTTATAAAGCAACATGTGCACATAGGCTGAATGTAACTATTTTACAGCAATATGACAAAAGTCTGTAATCAAATCTGGACCAGGCAATTTGTGACCGATATGAGTAGCCAAGTCTGGGATTAAGTCTATCCTTATAGCCTTCAATGACAAGCACAGATTAACCATAAATACCAGGACACATATGGAGAAATGGATCAAGGGATAACTCTTGGTAAGTAGTGATTTTTCGTCTGTTTTTATGGAAGGGAACTTCAATAGGAGATACAAGTGTTCCACTAACGTTCGCAAGAGGAAGGAGACAAGCAATAAGCATGAGTCAGGATAAGGAAAAATATACATAGTAGGAAACAGCAATTGCAGCATTCCTGGAAACGGAGTGTTCATATATGCTATACTCACATGTATTTTTCCCCAGACCCCTAATTCTTTACAAATAAACTAAAAAAATCGGACAGTTATCATATGATCGATCAACATCGATTCCTTAGCTGGATAAATTGAGTGAGTTTTACACCGCTCTTAGCAATATTCCAGCAAACAGATCCAAATCTGAACATTCACTGAATCATTCAAGAGTTATCTCCCTCTTCCAAGTCTTCATCTTGAAAATAAAAAGAAGAGTTCTCACCTTGGATAAGTTTAACTTGTCTGCACAATCAACTTCACTGCCATTCTGTGCTGAACATGAATCTGTAACATTGAAAAGTCTTAAAGTTATATTTTAGTTGTGCATTATTCTTCAATAGATGTTTGTGTAGCAGGGCGTGGAGTTATCACATAGATGACATCATTACCTTATCAGCTTGGTGTTTACCTCTTTGGTCATGTGAACAAGGCGTCCAACTTCGGATCAGGTCTGCGGTTCGAATCCCAGAACAGATTCAGAAATTTAATGGCTGCTAAATTTTCATCAGTCATATTCAACATGCAAGGAAACTAAAAGAATTCTATGAATGCACTGAAAGTCAACTGAAGAAAGCACTAATCAATCTATTTCACATCTTGTCCCAAGGACACAGAAAGTCAGCTGTCATACCCACTCAGCCACTGATTGTGCTGGCGAATACGAGCCTGACTCAGTGTGGGTTCAAAACCGAATAGGACTCAATCCATCATAAGTACTAGAATCATACAAAAATAACATGGGTTACAGGATTTGAATCAATTTATTCTGGAATGCCAAAGGGATGTATCGCTGCTAGGCCAATTCCAAGTCATAAACAATTGCACCTCTTTTTAGAAACAGAATAAAATGTTTGTAAAGATACAACAGTAAATTTTAGTTGATAACCTGGCATGGTTATCAATAAATATTAGAGTTTGATTATCATGAACAAAATCGATTATCGATAAATATCGGAGAAGTAACTTTGAGCAAAAATGTTAAAAAACGTTTGAAATACATCAACATATATCACATCACATAGTGAGAGAGTGAGTGAGTGAGTTTAGTTTTACACCGCTTTCAGCAATATCACGGCTGAGAACACCAGAAATGGGCTTCACACATTGTGCCCATGTGGGGAATCAAACCCGGGGTCTTCGGTGTGACGAGCGAATGCCTTAACCACTAGGCTACCCCACCGCCCGCATGGAGTACTAACAAAACAGCATCCTAAACATAATTTTGAAGAAGCCCATGAATAAAGACCTTACTTTGTGTATTGTGTGACTAAAATATAACTTTACATAACAGTTTATGTATGACATTATCGATCAATAATCATTTATAATTTTTCCTAATGACGATATTTGCAATTATCAGTCTTGATAACTAGCCCTATTCATGACAGTAAAAGGATCAATACTGAAACACTGCAATATAGATATTGAAATAGTTGTAATCTGTACACTGATACCTGAAATCTGGTTCTTTTTCTTCTTTCCACTTGACTCCACTACTGGCTGACCTCTAGCATCTTCAATGACATCGCTTAGACATCTTGATCCTTCTTGAGCATCCCCTTTAGATCTGCCAAGTCCTGATTGTGGAGCCACCTTACAAACTGAAGCTGCTTGCGTTTTTGATAACATCTCCGTACTGCTCTTCTCAAGGCTGGAAGATGGACTTGATTTGGAACTACATGTGCTACCTGAACTTGTTTCATGATTCCTGGGCATCAGGGCCAAACTGCCATGTCTTTTCTTTGTTTTTGGCTGTCGATTTTCCCTGCCCATGTTACTTCCTTCAGTCTTTGTATTGACACTATCATTGAAAATAAAAGTAAATAGACATAGCTAAATGCAGAAAATTAAGCAAGTGAGTACGGTTTTCGCCGCTTTTAGAAATGTTCCAGCAATATCACGGCAGGGGACACCAGAAATGGGCTTCACACATTGTACCCATGTGGGGAATAGAACCCGGATTTTCCACATGACGAGCGAACGCCTTAACTACTATGCTACCCAACTACCCCCTTAGACAGGGATTTACAGGACGCAAATTCCTGCGTCCTATATGCATAAAAACTGACAATGGACGCAACAAAATTTATTAGCACATCCACATGGAAGCAGAAAAGATCCAAATACTTCTTGCAAAAATTTCAATCAAGTAACAATAAGATATCAAAGTGTTTGCTACTAGCTGGGTTATGGTATTATTTGCAATTCAATTAGTGTAACAAATAATGTGATGATCATGATACACATTACAATAGCAGTATTAATAATAATATTTAAGTGTCTGGACCCCCATTTTGTTGTCCAGGACCCCTGAAATTAAAGAGTGCGAATCCCAGGGACCCTCAAAAACAGGACTCAAGGTAAAGCCCTGCCCCTTAGTCACTGATCAAACATGGTTTATGGTGCTAATTATCATCATAAGTCAATAGTATCTGGTCATATATCAGACCTGTGAAGATCCAGGTTAAAATTGATCTTCATTAACCCATGCTTGTTGTAAGAGGCGACTAACAAGATCGGGTGGCCAGGCTCGCTGACTTGGTTGACACATGTCATTGTATTCCAATTGCTTAGATCAATGCTCATGCTGTTGACCACTGGATTGTCTGGTCCATACTTGATTATTTAGAGACTGCCTTCAAGCTACAATATTGCTGTATGTGGCATAAAACTAAATTCCCTCACTAACATATCACATTTCTAATACACTGGCAGGACTTACAATGTTGAATAACAGGAAGAACATTTAGATATATTTCATGACTAGATAAGGTACAGCACAGAGCCGACTTATATACATGTAACAGGGATTAAGTAAGACAACATGAAGGAATACATCAAAGGGATTACCAACAACAATGGGTATTGGTAATAACGCAGCAACAATAGGAGGAAGCCAATTGTTGAGGAGGCGGAACAAAGTATACATTAAGCAGACAAGATTAATTAACAATCAGAGCTACAGATAACCTTTTGGGTCATTGAGTTATGCACTCTCTTGTCTTCGTCTCAATTGGGTACCCTAATTTTTCTTTTGAGTAACCGAATAAATTGTACTCACCTCACTCAAACTCAGTTGGGTATTTTGCCATTTTCCATTAATTTTGAAAATACAATTAAGTTTAAATGTTAGTGTTTGTGATTTACATTTCATCTGTAATATGAGAAATGATAAGAAAGACTGCAAGTTGTCAAGTTCATGTCCTGAAATAGACTTCTCAATATACTTCGGTTATTTTATCTATCCATAGCGTATGCAAGCTACGATTTGATATTTCTGTGTGTACGCATGTAAGGCCAAGCTCATATTTATTGAGTATTTACAAAACTTCAAGTGTACTTCTACGCAATAGACTTAATAGGAATTGAGTTTTCACATAAATATTTGCACAATTTACGCAGATAAGCAGCTTATCTGTACCTCTGAGCAATGATGGCTGGAGTGCTCTATTATGTTTTTATCAGTATCATACCTCATCCCACTCGTATACAAGGAACTAATAAAAACAACATGTATATAAGTCAGTTCTTGGCTGTATTACCATATGATTACACAATGCCATTTAGAAAGTGGTGAAATGAAACATGTGTTATATTTCGGATTACACTTTCTTAGTAAAGTACAAATTCTAGTACTTTTTATGAGTTGAGTCCCATCCGGGATTCGAACTCACACCCTCAGAGTCAGGCACCCAATCGCCAGCACACAAAGTCAGCCGCCTAACCCACTCAGCTACCGCGACTTCCAGTTCCGAATTGAGTTATTGTTCCTGTTTAAAGTAGTTCTGATGTTCATGCGCCAATATGAAATCCTCCCAGAAGGGCACGAGTCGCGATTCGGCTTGTCTCGGAATAACACGAGTTGGTCACAAATGAGATATTTTCCATTTGGTGACATTTTGGTGCGGAACTGGGGTGGATGTGTTCCGCTTCCTGTGCTCGGAAAATGAACCGGACAATTTGGCCAGAAGTTGTGTTTTATTGTAGTTAAAAGGCCTATCTGTACACATGTGTACATGGAATGGCTGTTGATAGCCTGGATAATTTTTCAAAAAAACAAAAGGTTATTATAGAAGTCTATGGGAAAACATTTGATGGTGTGTAACCAGAGACCATATAATAAAGTGTTATATGGTCTCTGGTGTAACCTAAACCCTCTATCCTCCTTGCCCCCCCCCCCCCCAACCCTTTTGTAACCAAGTCAAAATCATGACTGGAGTGCATTTAAACTCATCATTTCCATCAAAACCAAGTATGATATTTTCATGTTTTTCCGTGTTCGTAGGGCTAAAATGGATTGCACTGAATTGGCCTAATGTACTCTCACTGACAAAACCTGCAAAAAATTAACATGAATAATGATTTGATATAGAAATGTTTCAATGTTTCGTCACAAGGCATTGTAACAAGATGATATAGTATCCTTGAAGACATTTTCAGCTGCCCATCTGGTGCTACTAAAAAAAAAGAGGTAAAAAAACAAATGGTAAGAAAAATAGAAGATAAACTTGACCCACCTACCCTATTTAAAAAAAAAACATTTTACAGGAAACGAACATATATTTTCTTTGGCCTAGACGACATCTTCATCATCATTCGTGACCAACTCGTGTTATTCCGGGACAAGCCGAATCTTCTTGCAGGTTACGGAAAGGGGCGAGTGGTGACGAATGCTTCATCATGTCTGGCTTTCCTACAGCATTAAAAATACATCCACAGGGTTTTACCTCGACTCGCAAACATGGGGGTTCCGGGGACCCCCAATTATTAGTTTTAAGGGACCTTGATGACAATATGAGGTTCCTATGAAGTAATGGTATAGAGAAGAGTGTGTTTTGATAAATTCTGTAGACCTTGGAATGAATCATGGATCATGTGGACTAGAATGATGAAATGATGCATGTATCTGCTCTGAAAGAAACAACCAAGCAAAGCAAAGTCGTAGATGTGATGGTGGTACAATGAATAATATTGCATGTCTCTCTGGATGCAGTGAATTTTTTCTGCGTCCATTCTCTACATTTGTGCATAATTGATGCACATTTAAGCATCGCATAAACCCCTGCATCCTGTGATAACAGGTTGACTGTTAAAAGTGGCATTAAAGCTAACTCAATCACTCACTTTCAGAAAAAGTGAGGCAAGTTTGTTTGCATTATAAATTACAGTGTGGAGTTCGTATTTCTGTTTATCTTGCATGACATTCATAGTCATGTTTTCATAGTCAGTTCCCTACAACAGAGGTCAAAAGTTGTCATAGCTTACTTGACCAGATGAACGTCTCCGCTAAGCTCAATGTTAGAGCAGTCATTGATGAAGACATACGTCGCTGAACTTGGGGTTCCACCTGACTGTCCAGCTGGCACTATTTGATTCGGTGATACTGGGACGTCATCAGCATCTAAACATTAGAGCCATATCATAAATTACATCTCACAGAACAATCTTGTTTGCTGTTTAACACAAGACTGAAACATATTCCTAAATGCCTGTAGTTATTACTGGTATGCTTGTTTGTTATCTAACACCATGGCACACTCAGCAATATTCCAGCTATAGACCTGTGCCAGTTATATTCGGACACTTGACGTAATTTCCATAGACTTACATGTTAATTTAGTGTAGCATTAATAATTTTCATAAATTTAATTTTGTAAGATCCAAGTCAAAGTTTGCACATTTGTGCGGAATCATCTTACCTACAATCACATAATTTCTGTTTAATATTCCATAACCTATTTATCGAATGGCAAAAATTTAATCAACATATTTACAGTGCTGTGAACTCCTTTAACATGGCGGCCTATGGTATTGTGCATCGTGGAACCATATGCAAGTCGATAAATGTGATGTCATTAGTTAAAAAGTGGTCGGAAAATTGAATTGAAATTATGTGCGCAAAGCAGAAATGACTTCATATTTGCCTTTCAAATTTTACAAAGATCCACCCTAGATTCACTTCATGAAAATAAGTGATGCTACACTGAAATAACATGTAAGTCTATGGAAATTACGTCAAGTGTCCGAATATAACTGGGACGGGTCTGTGTGTGTTGGTGGTCCCTAAATAATCCAGTCTGGACCAGACAATCCTGTGATCAACAGCATGAGCATCAATCTATGCAATTGGGATACGATGACATGTGTCAACGCCACATGGTATGGCCCCTTTTGAACTTTGATTGGTTTTAGCCTAGTTAATAAATAATATGTTCATGTAACCAGGAGTCCCTTTTATAGGTCTCAAGATTTCGGCCTAATCCAAGACGACACCAGCGATGGTGTCCTACAGTCAAGACACGATCCTGAAAGGCTTTTGTAACTGTTCCGACAGTGCGGGTCTCGGTTGAAGACACGACATTAATTACGTGAGATTTTCAGACCCAACCACGGCTAAATAAAAATCAATATCAGCGCGTACATCCAAGATTTACCCAGGGATAATCTACAACATATATAGTTGTATAGTCTCCCTGATTTACCTGAACAGTTAACCAACCTCAATCAGTAACGAAACCACACCAACGTATCTGCAACTGTCGCCTGATGCCCGGTGGGCGTTTCTTCGATTGTTTTATCACGCTGTCCGCGAACTAACAGCAGATTAATCGAAACGTTTTAATTTAGTGTTTGTCACAATCTACGTAAGTTTCCACAATAAAATGAATGGTATATCAGTATCGCCCCACTTGAGAGTGTAGTTATCAACTCATTAAACAGATTAAGACAGATAATTACACAGAACTGTAGGCTAACCAAAATTCGTGGATAACCTTGATTCGTGGATCGCGGAAATTATCATGCTATCTCGTAAATTAAGACTCGACTGACGTCACGAAGCGGTACTTTTGATGTACATACAGTTGCCTTAAAAAGAACTCACGTAATGTACGGTTTTCCATCACTTCTTCTTGAGTAGGTGTCTTGAGAGTATTATTGTCGTCACCTTTTATCCTTTGAGGCTCTGGAATCAATCAATCAATCAATCAGGGGACATCACGAGTAAGTTAAAATCAAACGTCATATCATCACGTTTAGGCCTGAATATTAAACGATTATATATATGCAAGGAATATATGGTTCTCAATTTGTAACAATGTCAGGTATCGAACTCCAAAGGATGGCTGGTGTTTAACGCCACCCTCAGGAATATTCAATATGTCAGCGGTCTGCAAATAATGGAGTCTGGATCAGACAATCCAATGATCAACAGCATGACAATACAATGAAATGAGTCAACCACGTCAGCGAGCCTGACCACCCGGTTCTGTTAGTAGGCTCTTACGACAAACATGGATTGCTGAAGACCTATTCTAACCCGTATCTTCACTGGCCCAGACTCAAAAGGGCTGCATAATGACCCAACGCTGTAACCTCGCCTACCCGAAGACTAAAAAACACATCAAACTAACTATCAAACATAGCAATAATTGACAAGGTTATGTTTTGACTGGAATTTAAAGTTGATTGACATCTACACTGGGCGCGGAACTTCAGACGCTTGCAACGTCGCAGTTGGGTATGATATCGGGGATGTTTTGGCAACAGGTACACGGTGCTTTTGACTTGTGTGTCATCAAATCGCTTTCAAAGATATTTACGTTGTCTTGGGGAAAATAATCCCCTAAACCAGGTATGTACGTTGCCTTCTATGTCAGTTTAGCTATGATGAGATATAGGCTGGGATTTGGAACATATGGCCCCGGGTCCTGTTCCAAAACAAATGGGCTGAATAAGTGAGGGAAAGAAAGGTTTTACGCCATTTTTAGCAATATTCCAGCAACTTCATGGAAGGGGAACACCAGAAATGGGCTTCAGACATTGTACCCATGTGGGGAATTTAACCCGGATCTTGGACATGACGAGCTAACGCTTTAACCACTAGGCTACCCCACTTTAGACAGTATTTCAGCTATCGGATGGCATATAAGGTAAGGGAGTAGAACCGGGGTGTACGCAAGTCATTGAATAAACCCAACAGAGTGGATTTGGTGCTGATATACCTTGATATATAACCAGACCGAAATGGGATTCGAACTTACGTTCAATGGTTTTCGCCTGCCTAAGGCACGTAACTCTGCTGAACAAATTAAGGCTACTTTTACTACACGGCCACCCTCTACTCCCTAAATGCAACTCACCGAACAAAGATCTATCTTCACTAGATGGGTATGAACACAGTGGAGCTGGCTGATAACCTGGTCCGCATGTCTTCATCACTGGCTCTGTTATGGCGTCACCCTGTTTATCAGTAATATTTGCACTGTATGAGTCACTTGGGAACTCTTTAGATGTCTCCTCAACCTCCAACTTCCGGTCTGTCCCTTTGGTAATATCAGACGCGTCGACCAAAGCTGACAACAGCTGGCCATCCTTGTTTGATCCCAAGTCATGAGCGGAGTCTTCCTTTTGGAATGGTGATGCAGATCCAAGATGTGAGCATCTTTGAATCTTTTGATCATGTGTTTCAGTGAAGGTGCTCTGCTGAACTTCCTTCGCCATGTCAGTAAAATTTGTACTGACGGAAGAGTCTACAGGTTCGAAGTCTTCCGAGTCCACGGGCAATGACGTTCCCGTTATCTCCTTATCTGGTTTTGGAGCATTAGAAGTATCAATGACGTTTTCTCCAGGCTCTCTAGAGGGTGAACAAACACACGGCTCTACTGGGACTATGTCAGCTCCTGTTTTCGGATGATTGTGACGTTTGTCAGTACTGTTTTCGCTGTGATCTGGTTCATCCACAGAGGGACTTCCCCTCGTCACGTGTGTTTGAGCAGGGTCATCGACAGCTCCATCTACCGGATCACCCGTATTGTGAGAATCAGCGATTGTTTCAATGCCTTTATCAAAGCCTGACCTTTTTCCATCCATAGTCAGACTTCCCATACTATCAGAAAGATTAAGGCGTTGGTTGGATTCTGTGTTAACAAATGGAGCCTCGTATTGTATTTTTCGAGTAAGATGCTCTAAAGGTTCATTGATGCAGCTATACTCCCCTGGCTTTAACGATCTACTTCCATGGCGAGCTTCCATACTGTACGATCCGTCAGAGAAGTCACCATCTGACGTTTCATCTCTCAACGTCATTCCATTGCCTTGCCGTCTTATGTCCTTATGAGGTGGGCTGAAACCATTTGTCATGGCACGAGTATGTGGACTCGAGCTTGAAGGTCCCATAGTTGCATAGTCATTCACTAGACTGGTTTCGGCAAGGCCCAAGTCGCTTTTGTCTTCTTTGCAGAACTTGCTCAGATCTTCCTGTTGGTCATGGCAGTGTCCTGTTTCTCGGTGACCTCTGTTAAAATTGAACAAATGAAGAAGCTTTTTCCTACAATGTTCGTTGTCTAAATCGTGGACGTCAAACCCACGAATTGACTTAAGACCGCACGGTGTCTTATATTTTCGGCGGTTCTCTGGCTGAGTATGGAGGGGTCGCACACAATATTTCTTCGGATCGGAAGAGTTTCTCTCTAACCTGGTATCTGCCAGCGTTTCGTGAAGCACATATATGCAGTGTTTATCATGTTCGAAGTTAACAGTTAATAAAATGAAAATAATTCTACAACTCTCTAACAGCTTTGCTGGCGCTTCAATAAGTGATCCTTCAAATTTTTCCATATCGTATAAGCTTATTCGTGGGCTTTCTCCCGTAATCACTTTCAAGCTCCTCATATAGGTAACAACTTCCGAGGCTTTATTTATGTCCATAGCTGCATATACAATGGCTGCGTCATCTTGTTCTCTCTGTAATGACATATCCAGCGGATTTTTCTCAGGTAACCTGCATTTGGCAGCATCTACTTCAGGTATACTCTGAAGTGTTTTTGGTGAGACATTGCTGTCAAGGGCCATGTTGGTAGCTGAAGAAAAGTAGAACATGAACTGCTTAGAGTGAGTGAGTTGAGTTTTATGCCGCTTTTAGCAATATTACGGCAATATCACGGCAAGGGACACCAGGAATGGGCTTCACACATTGTACCCATGTGGGGAATCAAACCCGGGTCCTCGGCGTGACGAGCCAACGCTTCAATCACAAAGCTACCCCGATCAGATATGTTTAGGTACTGTTGTTAGAAAAAGACAAACTTTCTGCTCACATAATAATAATAATACTTTTGCACATATTTATTTATCGGATGATCCTCTAGTGATGCATGTGAAGACTCATGATGAAAGCAAGGAATTCCACAGCTATTTTAAGCGTGCCAAGGTTGTTGGACAGAATCTGAGATTTGAGGTTGATTTTGTTGATGGCGATGTACTGCTGGACGGTACAGCGATGGGAGTAAACCAGGTGAAGTCCTTCACCAAGTCTGCCCAGAGTCGGTCTTTTGTGGAGAAGCTTTCTGAGAAGCCATTGCATCGTGTGTGCATGCAGTGTGTGGAACAGAACAGCAATCCCACCGACTCCTTCGCCTGGATGAAGTCGGCTGGTCTTAAATGTGAAACTGAGGGCTTCCTTTTTACTGCTAAGGACCAGTCACTTCCCACTCTCAATCGCCTAAATGTGATTCTTAAAGAAAATATCAATATGAAATGTCGACTTTGCAATGAATTCATGGAGACTGTCCAACACCTTGTCAGTGGATGCCCTTCATTGGCACAAACAGCATATCTTCAACGACATGATGGCATGGCTCGTTGCTTTTACTACCGTCTCCGCCATGCCTTTGGCTTTGACTCCGAGGTCCATCCATGGTACGACCCTAAACATGTCCAGGGCGTCATGGAAAATGATGCTTTCAAACTTCTCTGGAATAGGCCCATATACAGCCTCAGAAGAATTCCAACCAACAAACCTGATCTTGTCCTTTTTGATAAAGCCAATGAATTTATTTATATCATTGAATTTTCTATCCCTTTTGACACCAATGTGATTGGCAAGATTCAGGAAAAGCATGATAAATATGCGGACCTCGCCTTGAAATGTCTCGCTTGCATCCCAAGTACACTGTCGCCAGGCTCCCCATTGTTCTCGGTTCCCCTTTGGTTTGGTACCTCCTGATCTCTTGGCGCAGATCAGGAGAGTGCCCGGGTTCTCCACCGGGAGTACAGCCCTTCTGACACTCTGGGTAATGCAGAAGGCTGCAGTGTTGGGGAGCCTTCATATTCGCCGGAAAGTTCTTGGTGGGTTCGACTAGGCAGCGTTTCCTGGGAGAAGTCCCATTTACTGTCTGGGCTGCGTGGAGAGGGGGCAAGGGCCCTGAGCTGATGATGAGCCTTACCAGCCTGACTGTGCCAGGGTCACCCGAACCCTCTCTGCTGCATACTATCTTTAATCTGTAAAACATAATAATAATGATACCAACACCGCTTACTCATTCATCGAGATCGAGTTCCTTGCCAAAGGAGCTTTTCCTTGTCGAGTCCTGTTCTAATGATATTGGCATGGCATTTGAATTCGACAAATGTAATACTCTTATTTGAAACGTGGAAAGGTGGTCCTCTGGTGATGCATGGTCAAGACTCATGATGAAAGCAAGGAATTCGCACTTGGCCATGCTCAAAGCGCTAACGCATTGTTACCTCGATAACCCAAGCTGCCTGTGTGGCACTAGAAGGTTAACAGTCATATGCTTATCCCACCGGGTACCCATTCACTGCAGGCCGGTGAACCGAGGCAATTCATGAACAAACTCACCTGCCTAAAGTGAGCCCATAAGAAACTGGAACTGGGATACGAAAACGTTTCAATATTTCACCGTCGAAATGAAAGTTCGTGTGGGTGAGGGGAAAAACTACGGACCGTTCATAATTTATGGCTCGAGGATGTGATGATGGTTTTTTGTGAAGAAGCGGAGAAGCATGTCCAATGTGAATGCCCAGTACGTTTCACATCACCACAGGCCTGTCACCACAGGTTTGGCGTACGAAATCACGACCAGATTGGTTAACTGAGTTAACAGTAACGCTATATGTTGTACGCAAAGTCATTTGCCACCATTATTCGCAATCAGGTGAGCCGTGAAGGTCCGGGTTAGAATTGATCTTCAGCAACCCATGCTTGTCGTAAGAGGCGACTAACGGGATCGGTGGTCAGGCTCGCTGAGTTAGTTGATACATGTCATCGTATCCCAATTGCGTAGATCAATGCTCATGATGTTGATCACTGGATTGTATGGTCCAGACTCGATTATTTACAGACCGCCACCAGACAGCGGGAACACTGCTGAGTGTGGCGCTAAACAACAAACAAAATATATAGAGAATCTAACCCAAGTGTCTTCTGATATCAATTACATGTATATCAACACGAGTTGATAAAGTTACAAATATCCGAGGCTTGCCGAGGATATTTTTACTTTATCAACGAGTGTTGATATATTTGATATCAGAAGACACGAGGGTGAGATTCTATTTATCATCAAAAATCACTCTTCATTAATTTTCAATGAAAAATGTACATCTCTGAACACCGTACTGTCATTAGACTTGCAGTGCAGCGATCTCATGGCATTGTGACGTCATCAAGTACATGACGTCATAGCATTGTCAGGGCATTGTACAAAATCTACTGTCAAAACGATATCTCCTAGGAGATATCGTTTGATCTCACACAAGCGATATCTCCTGTGAAACACAGTTTTGGATGATAAAAGATGACACGTCATACCCACACTGACGGTGAAATCTATTTGTAACGGGGTTTTCCCGAGTATTTATAAACGTGACTCTACTTAATTTCCATACAAAGAGCTTGATTCCTGCTGGTAACTAATAACACAATATTATGGTGATATTCATTATTTGAACTGACCATATACTTTGCCTGTCATTGTGACACTATGGATACGGTACGTATTTAGGTACCACCATCAAGCACATACTGTTATTCTATTTAAAAATCTATTTATATATGGGTTTTCCCCCGATATTTATAAACCTGACACTACGCGAATCACGCTTAAATTGTCCAAAACAACAATTGAAAACATACAAAACGTTACATGCAAGCTCTATAAGCACTCCGACATTCAATATAAATATTTAGTAATGGAGATCTTTATAAATATTCCATGTCTTGAAAACTTAGCATCCGACACCGTTGTTAACTTGACTCTGCAAGCCGTCTGTATTCCACTCGATTAGCACACAAAAACACATGAATAAAATATCTTACCGCACGGCAATCGATGTTATGGAAATATAAAGGTAATATATGCTTTGGATGGTAGAAAAATCAAGCATGCACGTTCATTCCGCCTTTCGTGAGGGATGACGTGGACATGGGGGTTATTAACAGACATATGACATAACTTCCGTGTGATATAATTAGATTTATTGTTGCGATATACTGTTGACATAACAGGAGGGTTTACATAGTGCTCGAGTATGTGTGACCCTGCATCTCATGCTATCTATAGGAAAATAAGTATACGCATATAACTCGTAGAATGAAAGAAATATTTTATCTTTAAACAGGTGCATTGATCGATGAGGGTTGTTAGAATTTCACCTCGCTTTTACTCAAACAAATTAACTGGAACTAAATCTACTTGTATTATTTTTAAAAGAGGTAATTTCGATGTTTTGCACTGTTTTGTGAGGGACATTTTAATGTTATTCTCACCACAGTCTGAGGTTACAGTGAGTGTAAGTACAAGGGTGCCTGAAACGTTCCAAGCCCAACTGCTGACGACATAAGTTTGCGTGTCTTCAGTACAGTACTTCCCATGCTTACAGGCTGTGACCCGTGAAGATCCGGGTTAGAATTGATCTTCAGTAACCCATGCTTGTCGTAAGAGGTGACTAACGGGATCGGGTGATCAGGCTCGCTGACTTTGTTGACACGTGTCATCGTATCCCAATTGTATAGATCGATGCTCATGCTGTTGATGACTTGATTGTTTGGTCCAGACTCGATTATTTACAGACAGACGCCTTACAGCTGGAATATTGCTGAGTGCGGCGTAAACCTGAACTTACTCCCTCAATCACTAATCTTGCAGGATGATATTGAATTAAAGTTACGAGATGACATGATACTGTGTATAACAGATAAATTATCAGCGAGCTGTCAGACCTCCCGAATCTTGCCATGACCTCGATGACCTACTTATCGGCCAACTCCGCTTTCATTTGGTGAATAACCAATCGTCGGTGCCCCAAAAGTGAGTTAAAATTTGCATTTTAAAAAATATTTGATGAAATTGATCTTTTCTTAACAGGTGATTTCAGTGCAAGAACTGGAAACGGAGAGTTTACAATCCATTATGAAGATGTGTATGGAAGTGACAGTTTCAACTAACCAAGAAATTCTAGAGACAATGTGATTGATAATTAACATGTATCACTTTTAGAACTGTGAAGAACATTTTGCATTCACTTCTATATCTCTATTCTCGTCTATATATCATGTAGGTAAAAGTGTCATTATTATTAAATCGACTGATTTATTGATCGAGTTCAGAGCGGGTTAATTAATCCAGTTCAGAGAGGTTTTATAGTACAGTTCAGCTTGGTTTTATAATGGTTCAGAGAGGTTTTATAATACAGTTCAGCTTGGTTTTATAATCCAGTTCAGAGGGGTTTTATAACACAGTTCAGCTTGATTTTATAATCCAGTTCAGAGAGGTTTTATGACACAGTTCAGCTTGTTTTTATAATCCAGTTCAGAGAGGTTTTATAGTACAGTTCAGCTTGATTTTATAATCCAGTTCAGAGAGATATTATAGTACAGTTCAGCTTGTTTTTATAATCCAGTTCAGAGAGGTATTATAACACAGTTCAGCTTGATTTTATAATCCAGTTCAGAGAGGTTTTATAACACAGTTCAGCTTGATGTTATAATCCAGTTCAGAGAGGTATTATAGTACAGTTCAGCTTGTTTTTATAATCCAGTTCAGGGAGGTTTTAGAGTACAGTTCAGCTTGATTTTATAATCCAGTTCAGAGAGGTTTTATAGTACAGTTCAGCTTGATTTTATAATCCAGTTCAGAGAGGTTTTATAGTACAGTTCAGCTTGATTTTATAATCAAGTTCAGAGAGGTATTATAGTACAGTTCAGCTTGTTTTTATAATCCAGTTCAGAGAGGTATTATAGTACAGTTCAGCTTGATTTTATAATCCAGTTCAGAGAGGTATTATAGTACAGTTCAGCTTGATTTTATAATCCAGTTCAGAGAGGTATTATAGTACAGTTCAACTTGTTTTTATAATCCAGTTCAGAGAGGTATTATATTACAGTTCAGCTTGTTTTTATAATCAAGTTCAGAGAGGTATTATAGTACAGTTCAGCTTGTTTTTATAATCCAGTTCAGAGAGGTATTATAATACAGTTCAGCTTGATTTTATAATCCAGTTCAGAGAGGTATTATAACACAGTTCAGCTTGTTTTTATAATCCAGTTCAGAGAGGTTTTATAACACAGTTCAGCTTGATTTAAATAATCCAGTTCAGAGAGGTATTATAACACAGTTCAGCTTGTTTTTTATAATCCAGTTCAGAGAGGTATTTTAACACAGTTCAGCTTGATTGTTCCCGGAAGGTCGGCATGTTACATTTGCTGAACTAATCCGCTGTTGTTACAAGCATGCGGGTCGTATCAAAGTTGAATGTATAATTTACTTGTAGGGGCTTGTAATGGGTGGTACTTGTATTACTAAGGAAAATGAAAGAAAATAGATGTGACAATTAAGAGACATTTTATTCATGTAAAGCAATGGCCATTTATCATTCTTGAATACTTGAACACCAAAAGACACCGTTAACAAATGTACACAGCTAGGACAGTAACATTCTATCGCAAGAAGTTCTGAAACATTTAGGAAGATGTGTTAGAAAATATGTTTAAAGATAACACACAGTCAGGCAAATGGCTATGAGAGAGTCAATGAGTGTAATGTATTATCATCCAAAACCTGTTCTTTTCACATGATATATTGCTTGTGTGAGATCATATGATATCTCCTAGGAGATATCGTTTTGACAGTAGATTCTGTACAATGTCCTGACAATGCTATGACGTCATGAACTTGATGACGTCACAATGCTATGACATCACTGCACTGCAAGTCTAATGGCAGAACCCTGTTCAGTGATGTACATTTTTCATTGAAAACTAATGAAGAGTGATTTTTGATGATAAATAGAATCTCACCCTCGTGTCTTCTGATTTCAAATATATCAACACTCGTTGATAAAAGTAAAAATATCCTCGGCAAGCCTCGGATATTCGTAACTTTATCAACTCGTGTTGATATATTTGATATCAAAAGAAACTCGGGTGAGATTCTCTATTTATCAATAATTTACTATTAGTTAAATCAACTAAAATCCATTTGTAGTTAAATGAAGTTTAAATGTCCTACTTACTTCCAACTTCTCTGTAAATATGCTTGATATTAGAAAGAAAACTTTCTCTGGCGATTTTGGTATCTTCTGCAGGATGGTTGTGAGACTGACCTAGCTTAGTCACAAGATCATCTTTTGTGTTGACAGTTGCGTTGCAGTCCGTTGAACATGTCCAATGAATGCTATTTTGTAGTCTACTTTTGATGCAGAATTTGTAAACTTCGTCCACCTCTTCTGTTCGCAATAAACTGGTACTCATTTATTCCAATACACCATCATGAAGCATTGAACTTCGCTCACTGAAGACTAAGAATACACTTTGAGCGCTCCCTCACTTTCTGAATTTCGCTCACGTAGGGTTAGGAGATCCCCACTGCTTTACCTACCTAAAACAAAAGGTGCCGGCATTCCGGGAAGACGCCGGTTTTATAATCCAGTTCAGAGTGGTTTCACAATCCAGGTCCTACTGGGTTAATTAATCCAGGTTCGAGTGGTTTTATAATCCTGGTCAAAGTGGGTTTATAATCCAGTTCTGAATGGTTATATATACTTATGGAAACGAATAAGAGATCGTCTGAAAATACATGTGTTCCTTTATTCTTTTCCAGAATTTCACTCACAGTGCAATACAAAGCTTGTGAAGAAACCTGGAAAAGAATAAAAGAACACTTGTACTTTCAGGTGTTTCGTTTCCATGAGTATAAACTCCAGGTCTTACTGGGTTAATAATCCAGGTCCGAGTGGTCTCGCTAACCCAGGTCCCAGTAGGCTAATTAATCTAGGTCTGTGTCACTGCAGTGATTACTGGGAGAGGCCAGTGCGTTCAACAGGAGCTTTCCTGCTTGGGTGTATACAAATCTCCTTCTTGAGTCCTTGTTGCGAAACTCGTTTGGGGGAACGATGAGTGTGTTAAGTGGCGGCGTAGCCCGGTCTTGTCCCAAGTTGTTCCTTACAAACCTTGGTGTGCGTGTTTCTCCAGTGTCCTGGATAGAATAACACATGATCAGACGATATAGAGTCTATTATATGTTAATATGGAGGATATTGTATGTGTTTGTTTGTTTGTTTGTTTGTCTGTGTCTGTGTGTTTTTGTGGGCGTAGATCTGTATATTGTCTTCAACAAAACTTAGTAATATTTCTGCTTCATGACGGCGGATTGAAAATAATGGGATTTCACCAGTTAATCCAGTGATTGATATTATGAGCAGAGAACAACGACGTCAGGCGATTATGTAAATCAAGTCTCCGAGTTCATCCGATCCATTGACTAACCCTATACGTCCAGCAAATGAAATATGTGATAATCCTTCCATTTGAACTACCAAGTGGCCAGCCTCAACAGTAGAACAGATACTCTAGGACCAAAATTTACAAAATTGGAGAAGTTCTCTAGAACAAAGTTCTAAGGGATTTTATTATAAATACTATAAACAGGATTTATATTTGAACCATACCTTTTTACACCAAAAGCAATTTACTTGCCTATTCTTAAATTTAGAACTAGTAACCATTATCTACCTGTTGAGACTGGCCGGTGGACAAATACTCCTAGATATGATCAATTATGTAAATTATGTAACTCACCCGCTGTTGGTGATGAGTTCCACTACCTTTTCAGGTGCCAAGCTCTTCACCAACAGCGACAGCTGTATATACCTCAGTATGTCAATACCTGGCCCAACCTTTATACATTTAAAAGATAACTTTGTTCAAAGAAAGCTACAAATGTTAAAGATTTGTCAAAATTTATTAAGTTTATCAATAGAAGTTTAGATATAAATACATGTAACTAAATTTTGTATCATTCTCTAATGGCACCCTTGTATATATAAATATGTATGTATATTGTATTGTACATTATCCTGCCCCTATTATATCTCTCCAATGCCATCTTGGTGTATATATGTATACAAGTTGTTTTCCACTTCATTCATGCATCACCGTTAGTGGAAGTTGAGAAAAAAAACCCTTCGAAACCTTCGAACCTTCGACATATTCTAACCCGGTAACCCTGTCCCCCAAACCCCGGCTGGTGAGTCAAAGGTCAGTAGAGTGAAATATAAACTAAATGTTGTGTAGCAATAAAAAATTAAAACAAGAGGAAGCTATGTTGTACCTAAGTTTTCCCAATGTTATTTCTGGCTATGGGTGGACCGGTCATTCAAGCAACACAGTTCGGTTAGCAGGGGCGGTGGGGTAGCCTAGTGGTTAAAGCGTCCGCTCGTCACGCCGAAGACCCGGGTTCGAACCCACGTGGGCAAATTGTTTGAAGCCTATTTCTGGTGTCCCCCGCCTGCTGGAATTTTTCCAAAAGCGGCGTAAAACCATACTCACTCAGTCAGTTAGCAGAGTTGATCCTGGGTTCGAATCCCGATTCAGACCCATTTCTAGGTTTCTCAGCACCATGAAATTGTTTCAGAGACGAACATCACGTTCGGCTTTACTCCCATATCAAGGCAACACGCTGTGATATAACTGGAATTCTGTTCAAAGATGTGTGGAAACCTAAATTATTTGGTTTAATTAAGTAGCAGATGTCCCCCTTACCGATGCATCACCGACGTCCCCGTCTTCATCACCACTGTCTGGGATCATCTGAGGCAGGTCATCCCCTTGGCCCAACACCGACTCCATGGAAGTCAAATCTGAAATAAATCAGCACCAATAAGCCAATAGATATACTACAGTCTACATAATACATATGGTTTGCTCATTTGCTGATAGTGATTAACCAATCAACGTTACCCCTGAAAATGGTAATAGTTACCGCCATATAGCTGGAATGTTGCTGATTGCGGCGTTAAACAACAAACAAACAAAGGTAGTAGTTACCACTTAATATCAAACATGGTCAGGACACCCCACTTTTAGTTCAGGTTCTTCTGACCATTGAACTGTTTTATGGCCTTTACTACCTATGACGATCCGGGTTAGAACTGATCTTCAGCAGCCCATGCTTGTTGTAAGAGGGGATCGGGTGGTCAGGCTCACTGACTTGGTTGATACATGTCATCGTATCCCGTAGATCGATGCTGTTCATCACTGGATGGTCTGCTCCAGACTCAATTATTTACAGACCGCACCGGGAATATTGCTGAATGCGGCGTTAAACAACAAACAAACAAACAAATACGGCATGTAGTTTAACTTTAAATACGGTCAAGGGAGACTTCTTCATTAAGAACCAAATTAATCAAAATTGGCTTGTTCCTACATGAGATTTAGTTAAATGAAATATCATATTGCCACAACCTGTTCTCCATCCTCCAGAAGTCTCAGAAGGAGAGTTTTCATCTGATGTTGATGTGCCTGGAGACTGAACTCTGGGGTCGACAAAGCCAGAGTCGTCTCCAAGAGAGGGCGAGCACGATCCACCATCAGTATTCACTGGCTCGTTTTCTTGGAACCAATCTGTGTTACTTTCTTCGTTTTGCGGTTTCATCTTCTCAGAGACTTGTTCATCTTGCAAGTCCTCATCACTGTTGAACACCTGTTTGGTCGTTGTTTCATCAGACCCGTCCGATATCGACTCAGGAGGTAGATCATGACGAACTCCATAGCGTAGATGTTCCCGTCTTTGGTTTGGGTCATCGACAGAATAGGGCGGTGGAGAGCCTTCGGGATTAATGGTTGTTGGTGCGTCACTTTGGACATCATCACTGGTGTTCGGAATAGTCTGGATTCTGTGTATTGGAAGAGAAGTAATGTATCAAGCTGGTTGTTTCTCTCCACTCTTTCATAGGTGATGTGTAACAGTTGAATAGATGGTTACTACATCTTAGTGACCGAACACTATTCATTAGGGGAGGACTGGGATTTCAAAGTTGTTAAATTGAAGTATGAGCCTTGATATTTTTTTTCTTCTCAACATCAGATGGTTTCAATAATATATTTTTCCTGACAAACATTTTTTCCAAGCATAATTTGTTTTAAGAAGCATAATCTTTTTAAAGAATTTTCTTGGCTGATTAATGTAAAAACTGTACAGAACGTGATTCCTTGGTATATTTGCCTGAACTAGCCTCAAGAAATGCAATTAGTTTGTCATTACCCTCTTATAATCTGCTGACCGGAACCAATCTGGACATTGCCGCATCGAACAACATTAAGGGGAACTGGAAAAGGAATCAAACTTGAAATACACACGTATATATATATATACACACACACACACATATGTATATATATATATATATAAGAAGAAGTTTCTGAAATAATTACACAACACGGATCTTCTCCAACATGTTTCACTTTTATCTTCAGGGAGAAGTGATTACAGTTAAACGGATTATGTTATGACGTCAATTTGTCATGACGTCACAATGCAACTGTATACAAATGTTGTGACGCGGCGTTGCCATCATGTGACGTCATGGCAACGCCGCGTCACAACATTTGTATACAGTTGCATTGTGACGTCATGACAAATTGACGTCATAACATTTAAATTGAATGTCAGTTTGTGTGCTTGCACTGAAAAATGAACGATGTCAAAGCGGTGTTCAAACTCGTGTGAACGAGCGAGTTTACGAGCGAGTTCACGCGAGAGTTTGAACAACGCTTTGACATCGTTCATTTTTCAGTGCAAACACACAAACTGACATTCAATTCTTATAATTTCGCACTTTGAAGTTTACACATACGTTTTCCACCCATTTGTAGATGATCATTGTTTAGTGTGTTTTAATACCTGGAAAATGTTGTAATGCCATTCGGTTCAAGAACGTACGTATTGCAGCGATGTTTGTATACACAGCGATTTTCTTAACACATGTATCCCAACCCTTGAAGAATTAGTTCTCAAAGTATCCGATCTTTAAAATATAACAACAAATTCGTTATGAGGTTTGAAACTGCTTTAATAAGTATAACATCAATAACAGCATCAAACAGAAACAAATATCAGAAGCAATAACAATAGCATTTTAACCAGCTGGCATTGTACCTTTTCACTTGTAAATACCTTGTTTCACCGCGTAATAATACACTGACCGACTTCGAAGTTGTGCGGCGTGGCGAATAGGAAGCTGATCTTGTTGTATTCTATTTATTTGTGATTGTTTATTGTGAAATTTATTGAGCAGTTGTTAAACAGACCTCGGGTAGAAAACCGCCAGATGAACCCGCAAACTGCGAAACATTAAACTCCTGTAAAAAGGAACAATGTTCGGCAATCCGTTTGGTAGTGACATTGCCAAACTTGGGGTGACTTGAAACAGGTTCGTTCGCGAAATTGGCATCACCAATTATTGGGGGTCCTTGAAACCGAAGCGAAAAACGTTCACACAAGTATGAACGATTAGAGGGGTTCAAGAGTAATGAACCTTGAAATTTAGATCACATGACCGCTCTCTCAACCAACCAACGTTCGGGAATCTGTGTAAACTTGAAAGCACGAAATTATAATCCGTTTAACTGTAATCACTTCTCCCTGAAGATAAAAGTGAAACATGTTGGAGAAGATCCGTGTTGTGTAATTATTTCAGAAACTTCTTCTTATATATGTACTACTGTACGCTCGGTATTCTCATCACTTTCTTTATATATATATATATACACACATATATATATATATATATATATATATATATATATATATATATATATATATATATATGTGTGTGTGTGTGTGTGTGTGTGTGTGTGTTACAGGGAATGTGTGAAACCAGGGATTGCCCGTAATCCCTGAAAGAGTCAGTGATTTCATGAAGTCCCTGTGACCCCCAGGGATTTCATGTATTCCCTAAAATTTCCAGGGATTTCATGAAATTACTGAAATATTAGCTCAGTGTAGAAAACAGTTTATGAAGATAATCTATACAGATGTCATTTTTCAAAACATCAACTGAAATATTATCGAAACCCGGTAATTCCCCTCTCTTAGCTTGACTTAGTGTAATCAGTAAATAGTCAAAGTTTTCAACTCCTAAGACCTAAGGGATGAAATGAGACTAAACAGTAAAGCCGTGAGAAAATGAACTTGGTATCCCGACTCAAGGTAGTAATTAGCCAAAAGTGTCCTCGGTAATTTTGTCAAAGTTTTCAACTCCGAAGAACTAAGGGATGAAGTTAGACTCAACAGTAAAGTTTTAAGCTACAAACATGAATTTCACACATTCACTGATATCCTAACAGGGAATGTGTGTAATGGAACACCAATAAAATCAGTAATTTCATGAAATCCCTGGAAATTTTAGGGAATACATGAAATCCCTGGGGGTCACAGTGATTTCGCGGAGAGAGAGAGATTATGATCGGTCCCTTAATGAGAGAGAGAGAGAGAGAGACTTTACAGATTTACAGATTGCCTGACAGGTCAGTGTGATCTCGCATTAACTTTTTCAACCTGTTTGTTTTTTATGTCCGCCCACTGCACCATTCCAATTCAGGTGATCGATGTAGTGAGCAAACAAAGACCCATGCCATTAGCATACGAGGACAATCAATCAACTAAAACAATACCCTTTCGATCAAACGATCTTCACACAATGGCTCGCTTTGATTTAATGTGGGATGACAGGGGCCAGTGTGTGTAATAGCCATTGGCCCACAAGCCCGTGGCTAGTAAAAATCCAGTCAGGCAGGTAAATCTCCACAGTCACTGGCCCAACTGGCTCGAGAATTTTTTATGGGGTCATTGTGTAAATATTCACCGACTTGTTAAGTTATAATACACTTCTAAATCATGCAAGATTATGGCCTAATAAAAATGGTTATCACATGAGCATCTAATTCTCATCTATTTTTGTATCAAATCTTTTGCTTAGTTTCTACATTCAAATTTCGGGCTAGTGAATTATTGTGTGGGCTGGCAAGTTTCAGGCATAGCTTGCCCGAGTGGCTAACAAAATTTGGAAACTATTTGACAAGCTGACAGGGACACGCTCTTGCTCCCTTATATTACATGGATACATCTTCCAGAACATTCTTCAATGGTTTCTTCCTGCTGCTCTAGAACATTCCACGCTCTCCTTTACCCCCCAAAGCATCTAAATATGTGTGTAAACCACTGCCATCCACCGAATCTTAACAGAACCAATCTGACAAACAGCAAACCTGGAAGTCCCCACTGTGGTGGCCCTCCTTGTGAAAGACCTGGACCTTCACCATGGAAGTGAGTGTGGTAATGAACGACTCTAGGCGCGGCAACACCATTAGGCTCTGCAACACATTGAGATGAAGAGATTACATTCGCATTTGGACTAGGCAAAGGAATTATTGGTGTTGCCTGTCTGGATCGCGTGCGTGCGTGTATGCGATTGTGTGTGTGCGATTTGTGTGTGTGTATGCGATTTTTTTTTATGTGTGTATGCGATTTGTGTGTGTGTGTGTGTGTGTGTAAGAGAGAGGGGAGAGGAACAAGAGTATGTGTGTTTTGAGACACTACCACGGCAATATAGAAAGATCTAATTGGCTAATTGTTTACAGATCGTTCTAAAACATATAGCTTCATTAGATTAAAGGCAATAGGCTAGAAGGTTCCATACCTTTCTCACCACCTCCAAAGACAAGGTCATTCGGGGCCGCACATATCGCTGTTGGTCTGTGAGCCTGGCCTGTATGTTTCAATACCGTCTCCGTCATGGTCTCATGCTCAATCCCCTCCACCAAGGATCCAGTGCCATCTCCAGTCTCCAAAGGATGACCCGTCAGCTGTTTGCCATTCCCTCCAACCAACAATGACTCCGTTGTCTGTGTAAACTCTGTGTCTTTTCCAGTGATACTTGTAGAAACATAATTTTTAGCAGGTTCGGAATCGGAGGAAGCCTTACGGGTGGAAATTTGATCTGTAGTATGTTGTGAATCTGTTGTCAGACTTATCTGAGCCAAATCGGATTCAAGCATCGAGCCTTGGTCTGTTTCAAACTCTGTACCTGGATATGGGTTTCGTGTTCCTGAGCCCTGCTCTTCTCTAGAACCTGAAAATTGAAGTTCATGATTTCTTTCGGAGTCAGCATCCTGGGAACAGTTGCTTTCCGCAGTATTCATGGTCGGGGAACTATCGCGAATTGAAGAAGCTTCATCTTGAGACAGGTAACTTTCCCTTGAAAAGTCAGAGCGCTGAGCAGGGTTCATGACATAGGCAGCATTGTTATTACGTTGGGCCATTGTAGAGTCAGATGGTTGATGATTGTTCCTCTCACTGGCCGAGTGACCAGGGGCTCTAGCATCTGAAGATTCATTGGTTCTTCTGAACAGGACAGAAGACCCATTTGTCTGTAGGTTAATGGAGTCGAGGCTTTGCTGACCCACTTCTGGGGTTGTTGTTGCCATATTTTCTTGTTCTCGGTGACATATAGGTGACGGTCTTACTGCAGCAGATCTGTCCAAGTGAGTACGCTCGATTGGAATATCTCTCTCCAGGACCTGCCTTTGCTGATGCGCTGGTTCAATTGATACCGCAAGATTAATATTATCCGTAGAATCTTTGGGTAGTCTGGAACAACTTGTGTCACGAACAGTCCTTTGACGACTGTCCTCTCGCTCTCGTTGTTTTCTGTACTGTATGTGATTTTGCAGTAACATTCTGATGTCTCTCTGACCGCATCTGGAATCTTTGTCGTACCACCTCACTTCTTGGATGGTGGAGAGACCACTAGGCGGGTGGGCCTTCCTCTCTTTGTCTAAATAGAGAGGTCTCACACAGTATTTAAGTCCGGGATGACACTTCGATGCCAGTCTAGTATTTCCTATCGCCTCATCCTTGATTAATTTTGCGACCTCTTCATCCTGGAGATTCTCAGTGGCCAACACAAGTATAAGTGTGGCTACCTTTGTTAGGTTTCTACCGGCTTCAGTGTGTGCTGATGCCCCTGGCAGATCAGTGTACAGACAAACTTTGGGTTTCTCTCCGTTTTCTACAGTTATTTCTTCCATTTGTTCCAATATTTCCAGGGCCTGGTTTTTGTCGTTTTCGGCAAAAAGCAAGGCAACATCATAGTGTTCAGTTTTATTCTGTACATCTGATGAGGTATCCAAATCGGCATCAACCTCTGTGTCACTATCGTCCCCTCCCGTAGCCATCTTTTCTGTGAATATGAGTGGGTGAGTGATTATGGCTTTACGCTGTTTTAGCAATATTCCAGCAATATCACGGTGGGGGACAGCACCACACATAGTACCTTGTGATAAATCAAACCCGGGTCTTCGGCGTGACGAGCGAACGCTTTAACCACTGGGCTACCCAACCGTTTCTTGTGACATACTGATCTCTGTTGTGTTTAGTGCCGCTACAAGTTTATAGTCGTGCGTTTGGGACTATTGACCTTATTATATGATTACTGCTTCTTTTATTTTAGAACATCACATGTAAACATTTAAATATAATCTGGTAGTTATGAATGATGGAAACTAAATATTGTATTGTTAGCTCCCTGTTACTGAGTTAAAATTATCAATGAGAAATACCTCCGTTATTTAAAAGCAGTAGTTATTGTAAGTAGGAATATTTCTTTATTCCTTTCTCACTCAGCAACGGCATGTTAACAAAATTGAACATGAAGTTTTCAAAATGTCATTTCTAGATAGAATTCACAACCTGATGCCGTGTCTGTTAAGCTGTTAAGGACTTTGAAAATGTGTTAACAATTAGAAAATGATTTTCACTTGGGGTGGGGTGATAACTGCATGGAGACTAAATATCAGCTACAGCTGCAAAACCAGATACTTTTTTAAAAAAACCCATTTAAATTCCAAAACATCTTTCAGCGATTGTTCTACCTGTTTCAGCGCAAAAGTGAATCTATTTTTTTATCATTCATTATGATTATTGTTTTCACGCATTTTCTTGGAGAATGTCTTATCGAATATTCAAATTTTGCCCACCCCAACAAACAAACATATACCATGTCAGATATTAGTTAAAGATTTTTTTTTCCAATTCCACCTAAACAAAGCAGTAAAAGTTGCGCTTGTATTGTACAGTACTGTTTTTTTTTACTGTGTGAAAATTTCAGCATAAATATTTCGTGTGTGGCGTCACAGGCGTATGACCTTGCGGGATTCATTCAGTACTGCTCTTAATGGGTTAAGTGTTAACAGTGTAGGAAAGATAGCCCGTCCCAACGTCCGAGACGGGTGAATTTTGTGGAGGGCGGGTTAAAAAAAACATCTGGTTTAGCAAACCAATGACATAATCATTATTATATTATAACCTTTTTGAATATTTACTGCCAAAGGATACTAGAATAATCAGATGATTCCACTAGGAGAGATTTAACAGTCCAAGCTCTGTGTGTGCATATTAAATTATAGCTTAAAATAAAACAAACCAGTTTTAAGTCTTGAAATGGTGTTTTATTTATATTTGGAGGACAGGCTAGATTTTGGCAGAACTGGTAAAAAATTTTGACCAGCCAGTCCTGTGGACAGGCTAGATTTTCTACATCTTTCCTACACTGGTGTTAACCCGTGAAGAACCCCGGTTAGAATTGGCCTTCAGCAACCAATGCTTGTCGGGTGTCGGGTGGTCGGGTCGGGTGGTCAGGCTTGCTGACTTGGTTGACACATGTCATTGTATCCCATCTGTGTAGATCGATGCTCATGCTGTTGATCACTGGGTTGTCTGGTCCAGACTCGATTATTTATAGACCGCCGCCATATAGCTGGAATATTGCTGAGTGCGGCGTTAAACAACAACCAACCAACCAAAGGATATGTATAGTATTCTAATTGGTTTATATTTTTGCTCCACTAGTGACTACCAGTATATTCATTTTACTGGGTTTAATGAGATTACATGACTAGACGACGCGCGGGACAGAAATAGAACCACCTGCATGCTGACTAAAGCCGGCCAGCTGACTCAACCGACCAATGACATTACTCTAACTTTCGGTTTACCCCGAGTACAGATCGTTACCTAATTTCGCTGGTGTTATTTTACACGCACATATCAATCGTACTAGATATCGACCTAAATCCTATTATCTATAAAACACATACCACATGTAATGTTAGTTTTCATATCAAGTCTCATGTCAGTTACAAATTGCAGGTTTGAGGAATGTAATAAACACACGGCTTGTCAACGGGTGGTAGTACGAGAGGACTGCACGGGTTACTGTGCTGGTACTGACTTCTACAGCCCATATATTGATGTTGAGATTGATAGACATCACACATATTGAGATATTACTCGCCAAACATATGTAATGACCAAGTGGTTGTTGTTTGAAATCAAGCACGACTGTACATAGATAGGAATGGTAAAACATGACGTTGTCTTAAGATAGGAATTACTGCGTCGTTTGAAAGACTAGCGTGACATAACACATTCCGAATGAAATGATGTATAATGGGTCATGTATACACTGTCCGCTAGGAATATAAACCGATTAACTTACCAGTTAGACGTCTATTGAAGCCCTCGAAGTACAGTAGGCTTAAATGGACTAAACTTCATGGGTGGGTGGAGCTGATGTGACCACGTGACCATGTTTTTGTACACATTCCTTCTCACCTAACACGGAAGTGCATCGTGTTTATTAAGTGTATTGATCTCAATTGTTTATTGATCTCAATTGTTTATGTTGAGTAAAACACCTTACAAAAATGAACGGAGACATGTGAGCTGAAGATATGCCTCGCATGCATATTAAAATGTAATAAAGTTTACCTTTACAAAACATGACAACATAGATAAAAATACTACTGATGTTATAATGACTTGAAGATATAGGCATTGTATATAGCCGTTATCTTTTATTGGATAAAATATAAACCACATAATCACCATAAACACTAGTCATAATTAATTGGGGTTAATATATATCCCATTGGCTTAAAACGAGCAATGTTTAATTGAGCTGAAGAAATACCCCGGTGGCATTATAAATAGTAGTAAGTTTGTTGGACTAAATATAGACCACGTGGGCGTTATGAATAGCAGTAGTGATTTACTAGGACGACTAGACTCCTTAGCTTTATAAAAGTAGTAATGTCTAATTGGACTAAGGAAATACCCTGCTGCCATAATAACTGGTTGTAAGCTCGCTCAGATACTGAGGTATTTCTGTCCAAACCTAAGTAGTAACCCAGTAATTGTTAAATCCGTGACGGTAGTATACTTGTCTGTTGAAGGAAGCATGGTGGTGCATGTGTGTTTTGATAGGATTAGTAGGACTGGGATGTGTGCAGGTGAGTATTGTTTTACGCCACAATATTCCACCAACATCACGTCGGGGTACACCAGAAATGGCCTTCACACACTGTAGACCATTCTCTTCCCACAGAAGTTACTCCTGTCATATCTTCCTACGTAACCTCTGTTCTAATACGGCCATATTTCCCGGTTCTCATAAAATCCCCTAGCGGCAAAAGATCGCAACACGAATTATCTCCCTTCTTTCTATCCAATCAGAACACGTCTTATATCGACTTAGATTCAACTTGACTAACACAAGCAAATGTGGGGCCACAAATATCCCCAATCTGCCGGGGACTTGTGTTGATGTTACACACAAGACGTTTAATGGCTAGCTTGTCCGTTGTCAACGAGGGCGATGGAGACGCCACTGATCCGCCATAACATGACTGAGTTCTGTCTAGTAGAAACATTTGCGCATCGCGCAGGGGAAGAGGTTCAGTTTTCTCGAAGCATACGGAAATAACCGAGGCCTTGTGAATGATCACTTTTGAAACAACGTCGCTGATTGCACAACTAAATCTGATTGTCTCCAATCACGAGCCTTGAACGCTCACACCACGAAAGGGCCGTATTAGAACAGAGGTTACGTAGGAAGATATGACAGTAGTTACCTCTGTGGGAAGAGAATGACTGTAGACATATGTGGCATGAAATCTGGGTCCCCTGCCTGACTTGTTAGTTGTGATAGGGTAGAGTTAGGATGATAAATACGGTCCATGTGGTACCTTATACAGTGTCCTTTATCTCTGGGGCGTCCGCCCCGGAGAGCGAAAGGTCGTGGGTTCGATCCCCACACCGTGTCATACCAAAAGACGTTAAAATATGGTACTTGTTGGTCCCTGCCTGGCACTCGGCATTAATGAGTACAACAAGGACTGGTCGGCTCGGAGTCAGTATAATTTGTCTGAGTGGGGTATTCATGCTTCACTGCGGCATGGTATCTCAGTGGGCTAGCACTATAAAACCAGCTTCAGTCTGGGCTAGTACAAGCAGTTGCACATACACATACACACGCATGCACATCGTCATATGAGCGAAATATTCTTAAGTACGACGTAAAACCCAATTTCACCTCACCTCTTATCTCTGGGACTCCAAACCAATTAAGGGGCAATGGGGTATCCTGGTGGTTAAAGCCTTCTCTCGTCACGCAGAAGGTCCGTGTTCGATTCCCCACCTTGGCACAATGAGAGATGCCAATTTCTGATGTACCCCGCCGTGATCTTGCTGGAACATTACTCAGTCAGACAGTCAGTAAACCAAACAAATTAATCAGGTCACGCGAATCCAATCGATAAAAACTTCTCTTGACGACAGGCGAGGGAATGCGGCGTTTCTTGTTCGGTCACCTTGACATTATTGTTTAAGTGTTATATTATCCTTGTCCTAAATATGCTGTATATAGAGGATATTATATGAGTGTCCATGTCATACTATGTTTACGACACGAGTGCCGAAATGTTGATATTTCCCGAGCGAGAGCGAGAGAAATAGATCTACCGACATTTCGGCACGAGTGTCGTAAACATAGTATGACATGGACACGAATATGATATTCTGTTTATTACCGTAGAAATATGTATCACTTATACACGAAACGAAGTGTCTGCTTATATATAATGCCGCATCAATATTTGTCAGATTTTTCTTATTGACACTTTCCTTCATAAGTCCCCAAACATTTTCTATTTGATTTAGGTCAGGGCTATAGCTTGGCCAATCTAATAATGTCATATTTTGGGTCCGAAACCAGGCCTGTGAATGCTTTGAACGATGTTATGGGTCGTTGTCCTGCTGGAAAATCCAAAAATCTCCATAGAACACGTGAGCAGATGGAAGTAAATGTCCCTCGAGAATATCTGTGTACCGCTCACTGTTCATATTCCCTTCAAATACACAGAGGGGCGTTGCCCCTAACACAGATATGTCACCCCACACGTTAAATTTCGGACTGTACTTTGGGCGCTGATACAAAGGTTTTTCAGTTTGTTTGGTCCAGAATTTCAGTGTATTAGGAAACAGCCACACAGAACTTTCATCTGAGAAAATTACATTGTCCCAGTTAAAATTTCTATGCTGTAAGCACCACTTCAACTTTCGCTCATTTTGTTCAGGTTTCATGATCGGTGATGGAATTCCTCGACTTTTCTGCCAACCCATTGCATGCAGCTCAGTTCTAATTGTCTCCTTACAGACAGCCACAGTTCCTCTATCAATCATATCCAGCATTAAGTTTTCTAAACTCCTTCGTTTGTTTTTAGAAACCAGAATACCAAGCCACCTCCTGTCACCGACAGTCAATTTTCAGGGCCTACCTGCGCCTCCCTGGTGCTCAATGCCATATCCATTTGCAATATTTTTCAAAACACGATAAACAGTGGACAAAGGGATGCCTGTTCTACTTGAAATCATTTTAGCTTATCTGATGTCCTTGTTATAATTCTCTAAATTCAACTTCCTCTTCTCTAAATCATCCATACTGAGGGTCACTGAAAATGTCGTCTGCTAGCAAGTAAACAAAGGGGGGATAACTCTTCACAAACTAATGAAAAAGGATTAACGGAGTTGTCTCTCTTGAATGAAACCAAGCACTTGATAGCTGGTCAAGGTTGTTTATACTAGAAATCCAATTAAACATAATCCTAAAATTCTCAATAATTCCTGGTCTTACTATATCTCTTCGTTGTTTGTCTCACAAGGAAAGAGAATATTTTGTTACTTTCTAAAAAAAATGTAAAACATACTTATTAGAAACTACAGTAACGTATTTAGGCAATGAAATTCCATCTCGAAGGAATTTTGCTTACAAGAATCATTTAACTCAATACATTTCGGTGACATTAGGTTTTTACCCTCGTAAGTCATACCTGGACGCCCGAGGTGCCTGGACATGGGTTATACACTACAGCTGTCCGTGGTCGCGAGGGCTCCATACCGAGAAAGCCATGTATGTTGGACTTTCCCTGTGAAGAATGTGGTCAGTAGATATAGGGGCTGTATTTTGCTTGTCCAAATGTTCCGAGTAGCGGGGGAAGTATAACTCTCCGCTTTCATAGTGAAGTGTAGGAATGAGTTGCGGGTGCTGTCCACACCCAATGATACCCCAGTTGCCGTAGAAAGGCAGTTGTAGTGTCAGCTGAGGTCGTCTGGAAGTCTGATCTCATATGTTCATGTGACAACGAGATGTGGAAGAGCTATTGTCTGCAGGTTTAGAAAATGCTGGTTGTAGCTCGGACTTTCTCGTTTGCACAGTAATCAATGCAAAGACACTCGCGCTCATTAGCTTTCTAACCTAGACCAGATTCAATCATCATTATTCCATATGTAGCTGGAATATTGCTAAAAGTGACCTAAAACCATACTCACTCAGTTTGGTGGAATATTGCTGAGTGTGGTATAAAACAAAAGTGAGTGAGTGAGGGTAGTTTTACGTCGTTTTTAGCAATATTTCAGCAATATTACGACATGACACCAGACATGGGCTTCACACATTGTACCCACGTGGGTAATGAACCCGGTGTAACAGGCCAAACTTTCCCCACCCTTCAATCAACTTTGAAGGCTACTTCTTCCCCAACCTTGTTCTTATATCAAAAGGGGGAGGTTCTGGCCTAGCTAGGCCATTTCTCCTCCAACCATGTTTATGTTCGTCTTGAAAAAGTCAGAAACGAAAACAAGACATAACTATGATCTTGTCACCCTGTAAAAACATACCAATTAGTATTTGCTTCGTTCTAGTTGTGATGTGATTCCTTAATCCAGAGTGGTACAGATCCGTGTCAGTAATATTCGGACACTTGACGTACTTCCATAGACTTACATGTTAATTTAGTGTGATATAAATAATTTTCATGAATTTAATTTTCTTAAGATCCAAGTCAAATTTTGCACAATTGTGAGGAATCATCTTACCTACAATCACATAATTTCTGTTTAATTTTCCATAACCTATTTATCGAATGGCAACAATTTAATCAACATATGTACAGTGCCGTGAACCCCTTTAACATGGCGGCTTATGGGATTGTGCATTGTGGAACCATACGTAAGTTGATAAATGTGATGTCATAAGTTAAATAGTGGTCGGAAAACATAATGTGCGCAGATCAGAGATGATTTCATATTTGCCTTTCAAATTTTACAAAGATCTATCCTAAAGCTCACTTCATGAAAATTATATATGCTACACTGAAATAACATGTAAGTCTATGGAGATCACGTCAGGTGTCCGAACATAACTGGCACGGGTCTGTATAGGGAGTTTGAGAAACAACCAGAAAAATAGATACAAAATGCCATTGGAGATGACAAGTACTTGTTACAGTATTAATGGGGAACAAGGGAAAGTTTAGACGAGAAATGGCCTGCTACACTGCGCCATGGTCTTGGACCAGTGAGCAAGCAGCTTTAACATCTAGAGCTACCCCACTGCTCACACTCTTTGTCACCTCACCTTAGGACAAAAGCAACCTCACCCAAACAGTCTATCTGACTGACTGACTGAGTTTGGTTTTACACCGCTTTTAGCAATATTCCAGCAACATCACGGCTTAGGACAAGGGGTCACCAGAAATGCACTCTTTGTCACCTCACACATTGTGCCCATGTGGGGATTCGAACTCACCTTAGGGTCTTCTTTGGTTGCTGGCGTAAGAAGGACGAGCCAACCCTTTAACCATTAGGCTACCCCACTGCTCACATAAAAAAACAAAACCCAAACAGTCTATCTGTATAATTGTTACAAAGATTATATTTAGTAACTACTTATAATAATGAAAAAGGTCCATGTGTCACTGGTTGGATTCTAACCATCTCATTTACAGTCCCTAAAACACCCCACTGTCCATTGAGTCATTCATCCAGATCCTGATGTCATACATTGTACATCTCAAGAAAGTCTTTCTTCACAGCTGGTGAATGACATCTCGAAAACATTCTCCTCAAAGTATTAGACAGATTTTATGCAAAAATAAATTATACTGAACGATACAAGCACTATAAGTGGTGTGAGTTGAGGTATAGTATCATGCACATTGTTACAGAGTCACTGAATCTATATGATCTGTCCATCCAGCAGTAAATGGGTACCCGGTGGGATTATAATACATATTATAATCTGGTCTCAAATATATATCATGGGTGAACACAGCTAAATTTGAACACAATTACTGGAATGAACATGGGTATAATGTGTGAAGCCTATTTCTTGTGTTCCCAAATGTGATACAGCTGGAATATTTCTAAACGCTGCGTAAAACCATACTCATTCACTCACCCACTACTGGAATTTATCTGTGTCCCCATTGTCATATGTATAAGCAATATCTAAAAAATAATTACTAATCAGGGATACACAGTACAAAATTATCTGAATAAATACTTTTTTTTATTATGCAGATATAATATATACATGATTGATTTTGAAGTTACCATTACTTGATCAATAATTTCCAAGAAAGTCATTGGTTGTTCCAGCAACAATTACTTCAGATTCTCCAAATTGCAAGGATACACAAATGGACAAACAGTCTACTAGCAATATTTTCATTATGCAGCCATATACTAGTAGTAGTAACTGCTGACAGCATAGCAATGATTCCATGAAGGAATGATCACAAACAATAAAAATGGTTTAACCCACCAGTCCTTAATTTCGGTTTTGCTATTATAGGGTGTTAAGTACATATTCCACCATGAACCCAACAGGACTGAGCAACAACATGAACCTTACAGGAATCAGGTAAAAGACACATATTTTTGTAATCAGCAGTGTTTTTTTAGGGAGGGACAACAATATATGTACGAACAACTGCTTTATTACAGTGACAACGATGTTTTGGTGTAGGTTCTAACAGCAAGCATTGCTTGATAACAGTGTTAGAACATTCTTTCTTACTGCTCCAACTGTTAAAAGCCTCTCCGAAGAAAACGAAGAACTTTAGTCTCATAAATCACATGTTGTGACATAGAAAACATACAGATAATTTACAATTTGAACAGTATGAATTTGTATAAGGCAGCAGTAAAAACGATACAAGTATGTACACGATAAATTTCACTGTTGCATTCCAGATTGATAAAACTGATCAATTAGAACCCTTTTAACAGTACCTTTAAAACATTTGGAGAAACTGACATCAAGACATGATATAAGCCAGTATCCCATAGGATATTTTCTATTGTTTTAAGTAGGCTAAATTTATAATTAGGAGAGCCAGACTTCAGGGTACACATGAGAGAGTATACTTTGTATGACAGTTTGTCTGGGAACCGCAACATTTTACACCAATGAGACAGCATTCAGATTTTTATAGAAATATTAAGCGGATATCGACCCAGCTCACAGTATAACATGTACCATGCATTTCAAAGACGTAGTGTTTATTGTTTATTTAGCAATATTACAGCTTTAAGGAAGTGGTCTGTAATCAATCTGGACCAGACAATCCAGTGACTGACACTATGAGTATCAATGTGACTCACTTTCATGATCAACACAAATGTATGAAAACGTCTCAAAGACTAACATTTGTGTATATCTAACCTATATCCACATCATGATTTTGACCAGCTGAAAATGACTAGTCACATGTAAGAAATTCAGTAAGTATAAATATTTGTTTGGATAAAAAACTCAACCCCAACCCAGAAAAGGAACCACTTGCTTGATAAAACTGCTATCATCAGCACAGAAATCTGTAATATGAACAGTTTCAAGAATCCATAAATCATCACTGAAGATCTACATAAAAAAAGAATAAATTTTGGTATGTGTTTAGTCTACCCAGAGTTTAGAGTGTGCGACCTATATGCGCATACACTTTTAAGCACTTTCTCGATGTTGCATCATGGGAGCAAGTATAAAAGTATGCTGCCTTTCAGGCTGCAAAACAGGGGCGGTGGGGCAGCCTAGCGGTTAAGGCATTCGCTTGTCACGCCGAAGGCCCGGTTCAATTCCACACATGGGTACAATGAGTGAAACCCATTTCTGGTGTCCCCCACCATGATATCACTAAAAAGGGCATAAAATCATACTCATTCAGTTGGGTAGAAAACAATTGAAACATTCCTATTCATTGCAAGCTAGCTCACTGATGTGGATATGTACATATACCAAATTGGAGTATGGTCCTTAAAACCAACATATAAAAACTTCATAACCAATATACAGAACAATATTCACAAGTCTCAAAACATGACAAAGATAAAAATTCAGCATCACTAAAAACAAGGATCTTCTTTCAAAAACAACTCTATTGAAATATTTCAATTATATTCAACAATGATTGAGAAACAAAGTACTTTTGCATTGATATTAACTCTGTCTGTATGTATTATGTTCAATCAGATGTTTCAGTCTTAGTTATTTATGATTTGATCAGATTGATCTGTCAAAATTAAGAACATTCTAATTCATGATAGTATTACATTACAATCCTTTTGGTACATTATGTAGACAATTATGCATATTTAAATTAAAACACCGAGTATTTTCATCAAGTGTAACTGATGCATTAAAAAAAAGGTCATGTTTGTTATCAAAGATTTTCTTAAAGGCAATGTACAACAATATCAGCAAAGTAAATAGTAGAATATATACCAGTACACGCAAATTTGTACCTGGGTTTGAAGTCCACTCACTTTCTGTCTTGAAAAACTGACAGTTATATTCCTATTCTTATCAAATATATAGCCAGTGTGCAAAATACTTTCCAAATTTTGCTAGCAAGTCGGGCAAGCTATGCCTGAAAGTTACTAGCTCACAAAATAATTCAATGGCCCGAAATATTTGAATGTAGACACGGGTTTCATCATTAAGCTGCCAATACGATGGACATATTTATCAGGCCCTAATCTTGCATGATTTAGAAGTGTATTGTAACTTAACAAGTCGGAGAGAGTGATATATTTTCAAAATGACCCCATGAAAATTCACTATCCAGTCAGGCCAGTAAATTTCCACAGTCAACAAGATTTTTACTAGCAACGTGGCTATTTCGCACACTGATATAGCACATATTAACCGCATATTTAAGTTGAATTTCTATTTTTAGTGTAAAATATGTCAACAAACAAAATGTAATACTTTTTGGTACTATTAATGAAAACAAAGTTTAATGACACATTTCAAGCAATCTTTTTAACATTACCCTTGAGGGTAACAGCATTTGGCATGTGGCACGACGTTCAACAACAAACAAACATGATTACTTATATTAATACAATAAAGGCACCAAAAGACCAACACTTAGAAGTTGTGCTGGCTATCGATACAGATCATAAGGATTAATAATCTTTAAATACATATCGATCGATTATTGATAGATATTGGAAAAGTAACTGAGCAAAACTGGCAAAAAAGTCTGAAAGAATTAACAAATTAATGACATCAGTGACTAGTGACATATTTATGCATGGATAACTAACAAGACAGTGCCCTGAACATAATTCAGCAGTAGCCCATGAATCAAAACCTAACTTTGTGTATTGTGTGAATAAACTCAAACCATATTTCATCGCAAAAGTTTATGTATGATATTATCAATACCACAATTTTCATATCGAAATTCATTAAAACATTTACCCATCAACGATATTTCCGATTATCAATCTTTTTAGCCAGTCCAAATAAGAAGTGAAGACAATGATTGCATCAACAAAGACCACTGTGAACAGGAGGAGCAGGTATATGTTCAGCTGGGCGATAACAAAGCTCACAGCTCAACCAATCATTGAGCTAGGAACGCCCCATGGTACTTCAGAACAGTAGAGTCTTGTTCCTGTAGCCGGGCGCGGAGTCATCCCACAGATGACATCCTTACCTTGTCAGCTTTCTGATCCAGTTAACCTCTTTGGTCATGTGGACAAGGTGTCCGAATTTGGGACAGAAGGTCCTTGGTTTGAAACCTAGCAAAGGACTGGAAATTGCATGGCTGCTACTTTGACACCCAATGTTGGTTTGAGCATGTTCAAATTTGATCAAAATATGTCTCAGTACCCTGCTATGCTGCATGGATGTGCCTTCTGTTGACAGGGGCGTATGCAGCAGGGTGTGGAGTCAGCTTGCTGATGGGTTTAACCTCTTTGGTCATGTGAACAAGGCGTCTGATTTCAGATCAGAAGGTTCGTGATTCAAATCCCAGCATAGGACTCGGAAAGTTATGTCCGCTACATTTCACAAAGCCATTTTGGGTACAAATGTCACAAGTCAACGTGATATTCTTGGTGCTACGATCATCCTTAAACGGGACCACAAACTTTTATCAAATTGTCATACCATTGATGAGCCATTTAATCATCATCACAGCCATTTTAATCTAGTCTAGTTCTGAATCAACAGAACTGCTTTTGCCTTCACTCTGAAAATCATACTGCTGTAACAATGTTTTTGCCATGTTGAGGTAGACCTGGTTCCTTCTCGTGTTGGCACAGAAAAACGTGTCGTTACTCCTGTTGAGGGTGGATGGGGTACAACTGTCCTCAGTTGTCAATTGTGAGTCATCTGTGTTTTGCTTGCTGCAGGCTGAAGGTAGACTTGTCTCCCCTTTTCCCTGAAATTATTTAAATATAAGTAAATGTAAAACCTTCTTTGGATCATGGAACATATAACTGTTTTAAAGCCCCCCTTATACGATAGTGTTGCTGAACAGACGAAAACTATTGCTTGTGTTTTGCATAAAATCAACATTAAGGTTGCCAGTTGTACAGAAATCTGCAAATACAAAGACTTCTCTGAAGATGTGTCCTACTGGGAACATTTCATTTTTTTTTATCACTTTATTTCTTTTTGATGGGTACATAATTGTTGCATTTGTGGTGAAAAAATATACAAAGTATGAACACGAGTGGTAGATAATCCGTAGGCTAGAAGAATACATCATTATTGTAATTTATGTGAAGAGGTTATGGCAACATGACCAAGAGGTGAAGAATTTCCATAGTTGCAGTGCGAAAAGGCAGTACATTTGTCAATTTCATACAGGGTGTGCAGGTAATGCTTTAATCCAACAAACTGCGGATGCGAATTAGAACATCTCTTTGCATGTATATAGTATTTTGTTGCGATGATAATCAGGTTTAATACATCATTTCGTTTTTCTTTATATCCAAAGATGATATGTTTTGCATCCAGAATTAATCTTGTGCCTGTATCTTGTTCAATCCAGGCTTTCAGTTGTTGCCACAATGTTTTCACATGTACACACTCACAAAATATGTGGATAATTGATTCGATTGTAACATTACAAAATGTACAAGAAGCAGATTGTGTCAGTTTATAGTTAAATAAATCTTTGCTTCTTGTAATGATTCTTTGGACAATTTTATATTGAAGCCATCTGAATTGTGTATTACAAGTTGTTCTGAAAGGTACATAGTTAAAAACTTTCCAGATTTGTTCTGATATATCTACGTTGATATCCCTTGCCAGGGCTCGATTTAAGAGATTTTAACCTACTTGCACCAGGTGCAACCTAAGATAAAAACCTAGTTGCACCAGTCAAATACCAGTTGCACTGCTTTTATGGCAATATGTAATATGAGAAATATGCTTTTGAAATATTTAGATGTTTTATTCAGAAGTTTACCCACTCAATAATTGACTTGCTCCTGGTGCAAGTAGACTAATACCTAGGTTGCACTTTGTAATATTGGGTTGCACCAGTGCTAGTAACAAAGCACTAAATCGAGCCCTGCTTGCCCATTTAAGCTGGCTGTTTAGCTTTTCTTTTAATGTATGTTTCCTTAACAAGACAGAGTAGAAAATCTTGCATCCTTTACGTTCTTTGTAAAGAATATGTATATTATTAGGAATAAATGGCTCCTCTACTTTACACAGAGTTAGTATTTTCGAAAGTAAGTATGATTTGATGGAGTTGATGATACCCCTATATTCTAAAAAATGTGTCTTAATATTGAAATAAACCCCTCGTAGCTAAGAAAATTACTATCTTTGTTCAGTAGATCATAATTGAATTTAACATTTCCCTTCAAGTAATGTTTATAAATAATTGGTTTTGGATCTACGGTGATATTGTCGTTTGCCCATATATATTGTGAAATTTCAGTATCAATGTCATTTGTTTGTAAAGATTGCATATTTGCCCACGCTCCGTAAACATCTTTCGAAAAAACATTTCTGATATTTGGGATTTCATATTTGACTCCAATTCCGGACTGGAATATGCAGTCATTCAGTATCTTGACCTATACTGACACCTAGGCCTAGATATTCGAAGCTCTGTTATCGCTAAGATAGTCGTAAGTTAATGTTAAGGTATGGCACTTACAACTATCTTAGCGCGCTAACAGAGCTTCGAAAATCCAGGCCCAGAAAGCGAACTGTTATATCGTCACATTTTTACTGATTATATCAGAAATTGAGTAATATGATGATATGGCAGATATATATCAATTCAAAGTGTTACGAGAGTGTGTTTTTTGTAATTTGTATTATCATTGATTAAGTAATAGTTATTATGGGTCACAATGTTTAAAGTTTTGAGTGTGGGTTGTGGCTCACATTTCGCATCATATATGTTCAATGGCAATGCTATTTTTAACGGTACGCCTTTTTGATAGCGCTCCAGAGTTACCTGCCCTTGACAATCTTTTGTTGATCTTGTTGACTTCTGTTCGAGAAAGTACTGAGTGAGTAATGATACAGCCACTCTTTCCTCGAATGTTCTAGAATCTGTGTCAGTGTATATAAAGGCTGGTTGTTGTGGAATCACACACGAACGGACACACGGAATTACACGGGACTTTTCATGTCACTGGAGTTGCCTACCATCATTGTTTGCCTTTGTCAACATAGTTTGATCCTGACACTTCTTGGCTGACTGCTTTCATTTATAAACAAGCTTCATTTAGAATATCTGATCTCACTGTAATTACCAAGGCTCGTGGTGAGTTGATATTCAAAACCTTAGCTTTGTGACTCAATTGCATTGTACTAGAAATCTGTATTGTAATTCAATGTATCTTGCTCATTGTTTGCTCAATATATTATTGAATATTTTAGACTTGTCTGTGTTATATTTTGCTGGTTCAAAGGGGATTCTTAAACCCTTTGTCACAGCAATTTATTAACCGTAACAAAAGAAATTGCTTAATTTTTATCATCATAAAGATTTGATAACCTGGGCCAAGTATTTCTCAAACATGACAGACTCTTAATGTCATTGTCGGTACTTCATAGGTTTCTATTCTCCATGTTTCACAATCCCCTGTTTATACACTAATCTGTAGGGACCGATCCGCTTTTACAATGGTACGGTACTGTATGGTACGTATTGCGATACAAGGCTTTCGGTTCGGTACATGAGATAGGATCATAATGCAGAAAATTGACACAAGAGCCAAACCTTACATTGTTTAATAACATGGAAAAAAGTAACCATAATCTTTGTTATTTTGAATGAACAGAAATTTTATTTTATGACTAGATAGAAATGACCGAAAATACCGAATTTTAGGAATGCATTTCAGTATACTGAACCGAAGGCAAAATACCGCAATTCTACTAATACCTCAGTATACCGTTTTACACCATGATAAAGAAATTAAAAATTGTGTGATGCAAAAACTCAGTGAGTGCATTTAGTTTCATGCTGCTTTTATCAATATTCCAGCAACATCCCCGCTTGAGACATAAGAACTGGGCTTCACACATTGTACCCATGTGGGGAATCACTGGGAACCACTGGGCTACCCCACCGCTCAGCATAATGGGGAGAAGTCAAATGAGTCTGATTTCACATGTAAATTTTATCTGAAACCCAATGGTTGCCTCATATGGCATGTGTAGGGCATGCTGATAAAAGGTGTAGACCATGTTAAAGCAATGTTTAGAAGCATGTTGATGAAAGGTATATACCATGTTGAAGTGACGTTTAGAAGCATGCTGATGAAAGGTGTAGACCATGTTGAAGTGACGTTTAGAAGCATGCTGATGAAAGGTGTAGACCATGTTGAAGTGACGTTTAGAGGCATGTTGATGAAAGGTGTAGACCATGTTGAAGTGACGTTTAGAAGCATGCTGATGAAAGGTGTAGACCATGTTGAAGTGACGTTTAGAAGCATGCTGATGAAAGGTGTAGACCATGTTGAAGTGACGTTTAGAGGCATGTTGATGAAAGGTGTAGACCATGTTGAAGTGACGTTTAGAGGCATGTTGATGAAGGTGTAGACCATGTTGAAGTGACGTTTAGAAGCATGCTGATGCAATGATGATAGTACACCAAGGCAATGTGCACAGCATGCTGATGAAAGGTGTAGACCCTGCTTAGGCATTGCTTAGAAGCATGCTGATGCAATGTTACAGTACACTGAGGCAAAGTGCCGAGCATGCTGATGAAAGGTGTAGACCATGTTGAAGCAATGTTTAGAAGCATGCTGATGAAAGGTGTAGACCATGTTGAAGTAAGGTTTAGAAGCATGTTGATGAAAGGTGAAGACCATGTTGAAGTAATGCTTAGAAGCACGCTGATGAAAGGTGTAGACCATGTTGAAGCAATGTTTAGAGGCAGGCTGATGAAAGGTGTAGACCATGTTGAAGTAAGGTTTAGAAGCATGTTGATGAAAGGTGTAGACCATGTTGAAGTAAGGTTTAGAAGCATGCTGATGAAAGGTGTAGACCATGTTGAAGTAAGGTTTAGACGCATGTTGATGAAAGGTGTAGACCATGTCGAAGCAATGTTTAGAAGCATGCTGATGAAAGGTGAAGACCATGTTGAAGCAATGTTTAGAAAAACGCTGATGAAAGGTGTAAACCATGTTGAAGTAATGTTTAGAAGCACGCTGATGAAAGGTGTAAACCATGTTGAAGTAATGTTTAGAAGCACGCTGATGAAAGGTGAAGACCATGTTGAAGCAATGTTTAGAAGCATGTTGATGAAAGGTGTAGACCATGTTGTAGCAATGTTTAGAGGCATGCTGATGAAAGGTGTAGACCATGTTGAAGCAATGTTTAGAGGCATGCTGATGAATGGTGTAGACCAAGTTGAAGCAATGTTTAGAGGCATGCTGATGAAAGGTGTAGACCATGTTGAAGCAATGTTTAGAGGCATGCTGATGAAAGGTGTAGACCATGTTGAAGCAATGTTTAGAAGCGTGCTGATGAAAGGTGTAGACCATGTTGAAGTAATGTTTAGAAGCACGCTGATGAAAGGTTTTGAGTTTGGTTTTACGCCGCTTTTAGCAAAATTCCAGCAACATCACGGCGGGGGACACCAGAAAGTCAAAACAAGAAGAAGAGCATGTTGCATGAGTAATACTGTCTCAGGTGCAACGTAATCCACGGCTTCCCTCTCGTTGGAACCAATCCATCAGTGGAAATAGGGAGTATCCAGCAAACCAGTAGTGTGTATTAACATGCAATGGGAAAACATTGTCTATAAAAACCTGTATATTAATGATGCCTTACTGTCAAAACATTAATAGGCCTGATATTTATATTTGTCTCCATGAAGATGAATTTCTGATGACTACCTACTGAGAGAGAACTGTCCCTGTCTTCAGATAGTTCTGATTGTACCATCTCCAGAAAATCACTTGCAGAACCAAGCTCTGTCACGGTGAAGCTGGTGATGTCACTCAAACCTGACAAGGAATTGTGAATAATTATGGATTTTGTGGAGGTGATGGGGTAACCTAGTGGTTAAAGTGTTGGCTCATCACACCGAGACCCAGGTTTGATGCCTCACACGGGTATGATGTGTGAAGCCGATTTCAGGTGTACCCAGAAATGATTTTATGGGCTTCACACACTGAACCCATATGGGGAATCAACCCCCGGATCTATGGCATGATAAGCAAACGTTTTATCTACTAGGCCACCCAACATTTCAGAAATATATAAGTTATAATAATGGCAACATGAGTAGGTAATCTTAGTAGGTTCCACTGCTTCTAGAAATATTTTGTTTACAGCCTATTTTTTCACTCATTCAATTCATGTACTTTGTGTACCCCTCTGACAAGTACCAGACTATACCACATTAAGTCAGCCGCCTAACACGCTCAGTGGAAGTCTACGTGGCTGAGCGGGTTAGGCAGCTGACTTTCCGTGATGGCGATTAGGTGCCTGACTCTGAGGGTGTGGCTTCAAATCCCGGATGGGACTCAACCCAACAACAGTACAAGAATCTGTACTTTACTAAGTAAGTGTAATCCAAATATAACATCTGTTATATTCCTATTTGAAATAAAACAACTGGATCACTATTTTTTCATGCCCTCAAAAGTTGTCATTAAATTTTTGACATTCCCCCGACTCATTCACTGTCATCATTTCAGTTGTCCCTCTTAATCTAACCAGTCCCTAAGCAAATAGAGACAAACGCCCATCCTGATATAGCTCAACCACCTACAGAGAACTGACCTATCATCTAACAACTGGCATCTTGACACACGTCTTCATGGTGTATACATTATCACACCTTACATCACCATTCCCTTAGTAAGTATAATTAGGTTGAATGTACCTGATGCACTCCCTAAATGTGGCTGAAGATCGGTAAAACCGGTCTGCACTTGTCTCCCTTCACTTGTCATCCTTTCAGAGGGAAAACAGGAACGTGGCCCATCCCGAGTCAAACCACTAGCATTTTCAAGGCTCTCTGACCCAGGCTGTGAGACATCAGTGATAACTGCTTCCTGCCCACCACATGCTGGGTTACCTCCCCTTGATTCTGTCTGACTGGGGATCATGGAAACATGAGTCAAAGGGGTCTTCCTAAAGGTGGAAGTGGGGAAACTTGGGTTATGTTGGGAATATGGAGGGGGTGAATCTTCTCGGTTTGGGGCAGCACTTGTCAGACTGTCATAAGGATCCTCATTGTCTCTCTCTGTCATCCTTTCACGTTGGTCTCTTAAGAAACAAAAATTATTCATATTTTAAATCAAATAAAACAATATACAAATTGTTCTTCAGTGTTTAGAGCCAGATCCCAATTTGTTAATGAAATGTCAACCACCACAATCTTACAAACATGAAAAATGGAACATGTCACATTTGTTGACCCAAAAACCTATGCATCAAACTTTATTACATTTTGAAAACAATGGTTAATAGTGACCGCAACAAGATTCAGCTTGCAGTATGGCCGAAGTTTATGCTGTGACCTTTACACCTATCACAAAGGTTCTTTTATTATATGCACATCGAAGTCCCAATATTGACCACAACAAGATTAAGCTTGCATTATGGCCGAAGTTCATGCTGTGACCTTTACACCTATCACAAAGGTTCTTTTATTATATGCACATCGAAGTCCCAATATTGACCACAGCAAGATTCAGCTTGCATTATGGCCGAAGTTTATGCTGTGACCTTCACACCTATCACAAAAGTTCTTGTATTATATGCACATTGAAGTCCCAATATTGACCACAACAAGATTCAGCTTGCAGTATGGTTTATGTTGAAGTTTATGCTGTGATCTTTACACCTATCACAAAAGTTCTTGTATTATATGCACATCGAAGTCCCAATATGGACCACAACAAGATTCAGCTTGCATTATGGCAGAAGTTTATGCTGTGACCTTTACACCTATCACAAAGGTTCTTGTATTATATGCACATCGAAGTCCCAATATTGACCACAACAAGATTCAGCTTGCATTATGGCAGAAGTTTATGCTGTGACCTTCACACCTATCACAAAAGTTCTTGTATTATATGCACATCGAAGTCCCAATATTGACCACAACAAGATTCAGCTTGCAGTATGGCGGAAGTTTATGCTGTGACCTTTACACCTATCACAAAACTGTTATGTATTGACAGAATATGCACATCAAAATCCTAAACTGTGGTCAATTCAAGGTCAAAAATTAAAAATCGCAAAACTGGAACATGTACGTTAAAGGTCACATGCAACGCAAAACAACTTTGCAGATTCTGATACCTTTCGGTATGGACTTACAGTAACAAATTATCAAAATTGAAAATTCAACTTATAAAAGTTGAAAAATAACGCGACGACAAAAAACCCGCGAAATTGGAGTTCAAACGATTCATTAATTTCACCCCAGCACTGGGGTGAAAAGGGGTTTCAACAGCTGTGCTGCGCCCATAGCACATGCGCAGTGATTAGGTTCGCGTGGCTTGAACCACGCGCAGTGATGACTTAGCATAACATCACTGCCACAAGCTAATTTGCATATCACATGACCGGACTTTTCTCTTGTTTGTAAACAAACGGGCATATTCAAAAATATGAAGAGACTGGCCTTACAGAAGCTTTTCAGCGCACTCTTCACAATGTTTTACATTGTTATATATATCTTCTTCCACAACTGCGACAGGAAGATTTAAGACAGTTCATATTTAAATATCAAACTGGCTGCATCCTTTGCTCTCCATCGGCTTCGATGACAGCACGTGGAGTCGTACAACCTATGTAAACAAAGGATCGCTACGCAAATCGAAAAAGTGTTACATGTTTGAGGATATTTTCTCAGTGAAACTAAACCATTCTATCCAAGATAATTAATTAGATGTGTAGACTCGTCAAATATAAAAGAGTTAAGACATATGTACATTAAATTGAATGGACGGTGCAAGATGTGACAAATCGTCATATGTTTCTGGTCTGTGGCAGAGGTACTATGCTGGCTTGCCGCATAGAACTCTGGGTAGGAGAGTGGGCTTGAACCGGGAAGGCAACTCGTAAAAACTCAGCAAGTGATGCGTGCAAAGATTATCGCTGTGGTCGAAGTAGGAGAACAAAAGATGCTTCTTGTGATTAGCATCTTGGGTCTGCAGTAATAAAAATACACTGGTCTCATACTTGGTTGCAGATTTGCAAACCAAGTTCTCAAGAAAGTGTAGCATTAGAAATACTAATTTCATTGTTAAACATTTCTCAGCTTGAAAACTGAAATGTTTTAATATATGACTATGGAAACAGAAAAATATGTTGATTGTGATAAGCAGTCTCTGTCGGTGTCAGCCCGATCTGTCGACAAATGAAAAATAGGATGTTCCTAACCGTCGACAAAACAAAAAACCCGGAGTGTCGACATCGCGTGGTCAACATACCGTGACGGTGTTAATTAATGAAAGAGAATGTTTGCTTAGTGATTTGCAAGTGGCTATGGTGGCTACAGCTATGCTCGTATCATGAGTAAATGAATTACATTGATTAAAGAGAATGTCTTTTTAACAATTTGCAAGAGAATTAAGGTTGCAAAAACACACTTTTATTTTACGTTATGCGAGTGGAAGGATGACCATTTTGGAGTTTAACATGCAACAACATCCGGAAAGAAACAGAGAGCTTACAAATTATTTTGTGATATTGGGAGTAGAAGGATTATCAAAATGCTATACAAATATGTTATATTGTGTGACATATGATACATGCATGATACATGCATGTTGTTATATTGACTGAATAATTATATTGTCGACTATATATATCACACTCTGTTTTAAGTGGTTTGTTAATTTCGAGAACACTGGGAGTGAAGTCACCCATGTAGAAAATCACCTCCCTTTTCCCGGACTGTCGACAAGTAATTTGGACAGATTATTTCTTGTTGTCGACAGTCCGGGCATAAACCGTCTCTGTCACAGACAAAATTCAATGTCTGTTTTATTGACACCTATGTGTCTGCCTGCCTGTCTGCTTATGACAATATGCAATACATAACTTCAATCAGTGACCACATGCAATCTGAACTTACACCTATCAGGCTATACACCATAAACAAAATACATTGATTTATGGCTCGTGCACCTGAGTTCTGTCTCTGTCACATTATGTAATTACACAGACAGGCAGGTGTGATACTTGTACACATGACATGTTATTATGTCTGTGGGTTGCAAACAAACTGCATCCATTTTTCTCGGATGACTGGATCGGACGGAAACCGGTGCAAACTCAGATTGTCAGTTTCAAGTCCTGCTTTGTACTTGGACGAACGACAGTTTCCAGCCACACAGTAGTTCACCATCTCAGTATTTGTTGATTGGATCGAACGCAAATGCAGAGAACATGTATTTACAAAACCTAACATCTCTATAGACATTCTTTATGGATAACAACTTCTTTTATTGCATATGATGCAACGTTTCGGTATGGATTCTTATACCGTCATCACTCTTGCTTGACAACGGCATAAAAATCCATACCGAAACTTTGCATCATATACAATAAAAGAAGTTGTTATCCATAAAGAATCTTACTTTCACCATACTTCTAAAATGCCAATCAAACAGATCATCTCTATATATACACACAATGAGCCCTCAGCGTATCGGCAAATGAACCAGCCAATGAAAGACTTCGTTACACTTGAGTGCACACCCACCCGCTCTGACTGGGTTCGGTCTCCTGGGTGCTTCGTTTCGAGGGAAGTAAAAAATACTGCACTTTTGATTCGCGATTGTACGCTTATAAATTTTTTTAATTTTTTTTCATAATCAGCAATGTATATTATATGTCATGAATAAGTAATAATTGTGTTTTAATTATGTTTGTTTTTTTGGTTGCATGTAACCTTTAAGCCTCAATGCTAGCTAGACATAAATTAACTTTTCATCCTGCTATAAAATCAGATGGAAACCTTAAAAAATATTTGAAGTACAACCTTTTTGTGTAATGGTTTCTGAGGAGAGGATGTTTACAATCTGAAGAAATGCATTTTGAGAGAGTTTAGTAGCATGGCAGATCAAATCAAGGTCAACATTTTGAATATCATTATAGTCTGTTTGGCTCAAAAGCGGACCGATGAATTGCGATCTAACCCGAAAACTGTTAAACATATAATACTCAATGAAACGCTGATCATACGGTAATAAAAACATCAGACCAACTCTGTGAGATTTTTTGCAGAATTTATGTACTAAAAATTAAAAAGTCATTTGACAATGTTCACCTAAATGTTAAGTTTTAAAGTTAGACTTGAAAAAGTAAGGTTAAGGATGTTTAACCTGTTCAAGGGTAAGGATGTTAAGTCAAGAATGAATGCCTGTGTTGACCCCTATGCTCTTTAAAACCTACCCGATTATCATCTTGCCATCTGTTCCAATCTGCACGTTGGCGCAGTTGACAATGTTGATGGGAGCTTGCTGACTCATGTTCACAGGTCCACGTTGCTGAGGGTTCTGTGCTGGAGGTGCAGCTGGGTGGCCAGGGTAAGGTGGTGGACCTGTGATGAAGTTGAATGAGAAAATGAGTTGGGTCTTAACCATTCCAAAAACAATTTCACAAATATTACAGCATGTCAGTTTATTTGGAGGATTGCAATTCTGAAACCAACACAGGGATTTATAGCTGAAAAAAGAACAGACCTCTGGGCTAGCCATGATTTATGAAGCATTATTCCAGCTATATCGTGGTGGCGTGTGAAAATTATGTGTATTTAGGATACACCAGTGCGTCGGTTCATAGTGAGTTTTTCTGCATCAATGACACACCCGTGAAGATCCGGGTTAGGTTTGGTCTTCAGCAAACCATGCTTGTTGTAAGAGTCGACTAACAGGATTGGGTGGTCAGGCTCGCTGACTTGGTTGACACATGTCATAGTATCCCAACTGCTCATGATGTTGATCACTGGATTGTCTGGTCCAAAGTCAGTTATTTACAGATCACCACCATATTGCTGGAATATTGCTGAGTGCAGAGTTGAACAAACAACCAAACCTAACGAAACAAGATGACACACTTGTTAAAATACTATTTGCATGAAGACATTCTCCATCCCATATTTTGTCAGTCAAATATCACAAAATAAATTGTAACAACTTTTTCAAGTTTACTACTCAAATAATCATGACAAATATGCATCCAAATGTAGCTTTTCCTTTGATACCTGCTCTGAAATATCTAACATCAAGCAGTTTCCACTTGATGTGAAAATGTGTATTCTAACACAAAAGGAAGCATGACTAGTAAAAATCAATTTTAATCACTGCAGACTAGAAGTTGACAGAATGTCTGACATCTGATCCCCAATAGAAACCCATCATGACAAATGGGATACCCAGGAGCACTTCTGCTTATCAACTTTTCAAATGAGTGAGTGAGTTTAGTTTTACGCCGCACTCAGCAATATTCCAGCTATATGGCGGAGGTCTGTAAATAATCGAGTCTGGACTAGACAATCCAGTGATCAACAGCATGAGCATCGATCTGCGCGATGGGGAACTGATGACATGTGTCAACCAAGTCAGCGAGCCTGACCACCCGATCCCATTAGTCACCTCTGACGACAAGCATAGTCGCCTTTTGTGGCAAGCATGGGTTGCTGAAGACCTATTGTATCCCGGATCTTCAAATGAAGTAATAGGAGATGGATTCTTTCTGGACAGTCTAAGTAAACTCAGTATTAGGTATATTAGGCTCAGCATTATTCGTTACACTGCTATACAGAGTCTAACAAATCCTAGTAGAAGATCGTGTCAGCTAACCTTTGAGGGACCTATGACCGTCCAATCAAATGCGAGACTGCCAAACGGACTTAACCAATCAGACAATGGCTACTGTTTAGGGTTTGGCGGGATTTATACACAAAATTCCTCAGTCACTGACACTGATGTCTCAACAAATGAAAATCTGCATAAAACATAGATATTTGACCTGCAGTATATACTTTTAGGGCTTTCTGATAACATGGTTACCATTAGTTAATATTTCCGCAAGCTGACATCCTTGAATATTGACAAAAACGCTATTTTCAGCGACTGTTTACTCACTGTTGTGGTGTGCTCCATTTGCATCACTCAGAAGCAATCATACGGAACCTAGCATTCAGAATTGTTCGGGTACAATACTTTTTTCGAGGTAAAATTTCAAATGGTATGTGCGATAGTCAACTTTTGCGAATTGGTAAGCTGTGTTCTGATTGATCTATTGAAAAGGTTAGCTGACACGACCTTCTACTAGGGTTTGTTAGACTCAGTATAAGCAGTGTAACGAATAATACTGAGCCTAGGTTTACTTAGACTGCTTTCTGGACTACATCAGAATGTTCATGGCGGTGAAGTAGCCTACTGGTTAAAGCGTCGGCTTGTCATGCCGAAGTCCTGGGTTTGATTCCCTACATGGGTACAATGTGTGGAGCTCATTTCTGGCACCCCCCTGCTGTGATATTCCTGTAGAACCATACTCACTCACTTGAATGTTCAAATACACCAAATGATTACAGTAAAAGATGGCACGCAGGTTTCCATATCATTACAGTTTCATGACTTTCCACAATACATTAAGGGATACTTTCGTTTTATGAATATATGCTTAGAAACCATACATGATTTATTTCTTCTGATACTGCTTAGTAAGGCTGTAACGATTCACTCGCATATTCGGTGAATCGAACCGTAGCCCTTCATGAATTCAATTCGTTATTCGTGGTCACCAGAACCGAATATTAACGAATATTTACAAAAAAAATTCAAGGGAGCATGTTTTACTTGAACCCTTGTGTACTTTTGGAAAGTGAGATATGCAAGGATTGAATATGTACTAGCATTGCAGTAGCGCAAGTCATGTTAGTTTGCCAAGGCCGCACATGGTACTGTTGACTATAACTATTACATAACAAATTTGAGTGTCATGAGATCACTGGTTATTGCTGTGACAAATTAAAACTGTCAACATGGGCATTCCATATTGTTCATCAATCACATAACTACAATATTGAATTCATGAATAATTATTCGTATTCGTTACCCAATATTCATGATACATATCATATTCGCCACATGGTGTATTCGTTGCAGCCCTACTGCTTAGGAACTATTAATACCTGGCTCCCATTCCAGTAAGTGATCATCATGACCGCCTCCGTGGTGTAGTGGCTAGAGCGTCTGCCCGGAGAGCGGAAGGTCACGGGTTCGATCCCCGACAGCGCCATACCAAAAGACGTTAAAATATGGTACTTGTTGGTCCCTGCCTGGCACTCGGCATTAATGGGTACAACAAGGACTGGTCGGCTCAGAGTCAGTTTAATGTGTCTGAGTGGGGTATTCATGCTTCACTGCGGCATGGTATCTCAGTGGGCTAGCACTATAAAACCAGCTTCAGTCTGGGCTAGTACAAGCAGCCGCACCTACAACACACGCATGCACGTCGTCATATGAGCAAAAATATTCTCGAGCGCGACGTTAAACCAAATTTCACCTCACCTCAGTAAGTGATCATATTGATAAGCATGATGATCTTCATGATCACGGCTCAGATTTTTTACATAGACTTGTCACAGTGATAAGATCAAACTGAGGAATGTTGAGCATCGAACTACGCAATTGGGATAAGATGACATGTGTCGGCAAGCCTGACTACCCAATCACGTTAGCCGCCTCTTACGACAAGCATGGGTTGTTGAAGACCAATTCTAACCTGGATCTTCAACGGGTTCACTGAGGAATAAGACTATGGAATAAATATTAGGTTCATACTAAGAATTATTGTACATGAGATGTGACCAACCATTGACATGAAGCGGAGTGAACTGTGGGTATTGCCCCAGAGGTGTGAAGACATTTGGATCAAACATTCCTGGACCCTGATTCCCAGCATGGTAGTGGTAGTGGATTGCCGGCACCGGGGATGTGGGAGGCACTGCAAGGAATCATTGAACATGACACAAATATACTGACTGAGTTTGGTTTTACGCCGCTTTTAGCAATATTCCAGCAACATCAAGGCGGGGGACACCAGAAATGGGCTTCACACATTGTGCCCATGTGGGGATTCGAACCCGTGTCTTCGGCTTTAACCATTAGGCTACCCCACCGCCCTGACACAAATATAACAAATATACAATAATGACAGGGGCAACGCAGTTTAGGTCATCAGTAAGGAAGAGGTTATGTCCATTCTTTTTCTGAACATCTCAGTTCTATTATTTTTGCATGTCAGAAATCGGACTTTTCATTGAACTAAGTATTACAACTACTGAAATTGATTTGTAAGAGAGTAGTGGTAGATATTAAACAATCACAATATTTTTGCAATTGAGGTCATTTTTAGTTTAGTTTGTATTGTAAAACAATATTACATTAGATATAAAACCTCATAAAGTATATTTTTTGACAACAGAAATAAACTAATTGCACTAATGATTCGTCCATTACCTTCTGTTGAAGTTTTGAGCACATTTGGTGCTGCACACTTTGTGGCAGATATGTAAGCTGGTCCATCGGTTTTTAGCTCATGTGTTAGAACCTTGTTCACCTCTTCATTGTTCTGTTTAGCTAGTGGGGTCTTAAGTTTGTCAGACAAAGCAGAATCAGTCTCCAGTGGTTTAGTTACATTGTCCAGTACACCATGCTTTGCAGATCCAGAGGTCATGTGTGTCTTCACTGACACTGTATTGCTTTCATCTGAGTTGGATGTTTGAGTTGCCAGACTTTTTGTTACTTTTTGATCTGTCAGAGATTGGCCATCTCCTGGTGTCCTAGGGGCAATAGGAGGGCTAGGTGATCCATTACTTGGTCCCTGATGAGGACCAACTGTGTCAATGTCATCGCTTGGTTCCTGACCAGAAGTAAGACTGCGAGATCCATCACTTGGTCCATTATCATCTTTTCCACGGGTATCTCTCTGTCCTTGATCAGAAGCAACTGTTCGAAGGTGACTTCCATCTCCTTGGCCAGAAGCAACTGTTGCAAGATTCTTTTCAGCTTGGCCAGAAGCAACTGTTGCAAGATTCTTTTCAGCTCCTGGACCAGAAGCAAGTGTTCCAATATTCTTTCTAGGTCCTTGGCCAGAAGCAACAGTACCCCTGTGATTTTTTGGTCTATCATTAGAAGATCCATGATCAAATACATCCATTCCATTAGGTCCTTGACAAGAAGGAACTTTGTCAGCTCCATTGCTGAGTCTTTCTCCAGAAGTGATGTCATCACAAGGTCCTACAGTAGCAGCATCTGTTGCAGGGCTCATACCAGGGTTTTGATCAGCAGTGAGTGGTGATGGCTCTGTGATAGCAAACGACCCTACACCAGATTTGTTATCATTGCCTTCTCCAGCGTTATGACAAGATCCCTGATCAGACACATCAGCCAATCTGTCACTTGTAACTGATCCATTTTCCTTCTTGTCTGAGTATTTGATTGCTGTTGTGTCAGTGGAACTGTTTGTGCCTTGGCTTGAATCAAGTGATTTTAAGACAGTACATTCCTCATCTTCATACTTTGTGAGTCTGGATGATTCCCCCTGAGAACTGGATGATTCAGAGAGCTTGTCTTTACTTTTTGTAGCATTTGTCTGAATACCATCTTCATCTAGATCTGGTTCTATTATCAGATCATTTTCAGGCAGAGGCTGAAATGTCTCCGAAGGGTTGTTATCAGTCGTATTCAAAGGACTCTGATACTGAGGGAGGTTATTTCTCAGTATTGTTGAACTTGAAGTTGAGGCTGAAGTAGGCTGTTCTGATAACTTTCCAGAAAAAGATTTACTAAGCTTAATGACTGTGGAAGGTTTGTCAGATAGTGAATGGTCTTGTTTGGGGACATTTTGGGAATCTGATGATCTGCCATCACCGTATAGGGCATCATCACTTATACAATTATCAGTATTACCTCTGTCAGGACCAGTTGATCCTCCAGTTCGGGCACCAAAAGGGCTTCTGGATGGCTGGACATTTGCCTCAGAGCTGCTATTACCTGATCCATGACCTACCTGGCCTCCACGATTGACTTCAGATACATGAATTTGGCTTAAGTCGAGAGACACATCCTGTTCATCAGTCTGTAAGGATTCCTGATGTATATTGCTGGAAAGTTTATGAGGATGGTGTATTGTATTGCCATGAGATGGAGTCTCAAATCTCTCTCTTCTTGATTCAGGGAGGACAGGGTCGATTCTAGGACACACGTCCACTGACCCCTGTGGTTGAGCATAATTTGCAAAATCACCTGGATGGCTAGATGTGTTGGCACTAGGTGGAGTCAATGTCTGCTCGATGGGGAATATGTTTGGAACAGAGATGTTTCCATGGGCTCCGCTCTGTCCATGATTTTCTGACTCCATTCCTGCTGGTGGTGGATTGCCATGAACTGTACCTGGAGCTTCCCTTAAGTGTGACCGATTCATTGCTGGTCGCTTTTGCATGTTAAATTGTCTCTGCACTGATGGCATGTTGAAATTTTGTTTATCACGGGGAAACTGATCTATTAATCTGTGCTGTCTGGAAAGAATTCTCACAACAGTCCTGCTTTTCCCGTTTTAGTCTGTATGGCAGATGGAAATCAAGAAGCTGTTTCAGCCTGTATGTGAACGATTTTTTCTCATAATTATACCAGTCAACAGAGTCAATCGATAACAGACCACTGGGAGTCTTGTACACGCCTTTTCTGTCTTTTTCACATTTTGTATGCAAAGGTCTTATGCAGTATCTCTTTGTCGAATCACAGTCATCCTTTGACGCTAGTCTTGTAAGTCCAAATGCCTCCTCTCTCACAGCTTGAACAACCATGTCATCTCGTAGATTCTCAGTCAGAACAACAAATATCAAAGTGCATAATTGCACAACTTTCTCAGCTTTGCACATCTGGGAAGCATCAAAACAGCTATCATCATACAAGCATATTTTGGGCCACATGTTATTCTTTAGTTCAAAACTAGTCAGTTTCTCCTGTATGTCTAAAGCAAGATCCAAATCCTCTTTAGCAAACAGTAGAGCTACATCAAAGTGTTCATATTTAGGTGGGATGCCAGTAAAGTTAGACTGGGGTACACTGAAGGCTCCCATGTTGTTGAATGGCATTTGCTGACTATGTTGCCAGCTCACTGTTGATGGCAAAATTATGGAACCTTGATTTGGATACCTGGGATGTCCACCAACAAAACTTTCTCTGTCGGTAGAATATCCTTCCGCATCAGACTGGATATCTTGATCAGTCGTATCCATATTGACCTGAAATAGATGAGGAATGTCATTTTTGTCAATGGCATCTGGTGCATTTATACCTAAGAACAGGGTTTTGCCTAGAAATACGAAACCAGGGGTGGGGTAGCCTAGTGGTTAAAGCATTCGTTCGTCACGTCGAAGGGCTGGTTTGGATTCTCCACATGGGTACAATGTGTGAAGCCCATTTCTGGTGTTGCCCACCATGATATTGCTGGAATATTGCTAAAAGTGAAAACTAAACTCACTCACTACAAAAAACAGGGGCCAGAGGAATAATGATTACTAATATACATTGAGGCGCGTGGTCCTGTGCATAGAGCTCAGGTCACAAATCAGTTGAAGTTAAGCAACATTGGGCGTGGAGAGTCCTCCGATGGTTGACTGTGTGTGACAATGACTCCTGAGAGTTTTTAGGACTTCAGTCGTGTCCCACAATGAAACACATGTGATACACGTGGTCTCACCTTAGGCAAGTGAGTTTGTCCAAAATTGCCTTTGTTCACCCAATAGAAAATGGGTACTGGTGAAAAAAGTCGTGAGACTATTAACCGTCTAGCCCCTAACAGGCAGCTTGGGTTATCCGGAGTAATAATGATCAGATCTTGAGCTATGAGCAAGATATAAATATTCTCATTAAGTAATTAATTATGAGGGTCATGTAAAGTAACAAAATGGTGTAGCATAGTTTACAATGAGATTTAATAGTTGCTTCAATAGTAGGACCTTTCTATTTCTTGTCACAAAGTTGGTACAATGAATACTATATGTATAATTCTTCTGTGTTCATTCTGTACATCTGATGCACCATTCGTGACCAACTCGTGTTATTCCGGGACAAGCCGAATAGCGACTCGTGCCCCTCTGCAAGGATTTCATATTGGCACATGAACATCAGAACTACTTTAAACAAGAACGATAACTCTATCCCTGTCTGATTCCAATGTTTCTAAAAATCACCAAAGCACATGTACATTGTATTGTTAGGTTGTTTTTTTTGAGGGTTTTGTTACTTATTTATTTTAAAGAATTAAACCTCTTTGATACAACTAAAAGAAGGAGAAAAACATATTTGTTAAACACATATTCTAATGTAATTATTACCAGCTGTTCAGCTTATATTTCCAATTATGTTAATTTTCTTAATAGGGTTTAATCATCACAAATGGGAATTGTCTTATTGAATATACAAATAAAATAACATTTTTTCAGCTACATTAAATCCCAAAGCAGATACTCAAAAATGACTTTAAAATATTTCTCAAACTGAACATTCATGTAACCTTGCTGTCACACCCCTGGTGGAATTTTATATGAATTCGCTGAAAAAAGTATAAATGACCAAAAAACAGTCAGACTGAAATATCCCCAGAGCTATGAATTATAAGCCCTGGGAATGTTAAAGATTAAGGTTGATTAGTTACATACAAATACGATATTATTGTTTTGAAACTGGCAGCGATTATAATGACATTTCCTAAAATTGGTCGAAGCGCACTTACAATCTCCATAACAAGCCCGCAAGATCGTCAGAAATACACTCAATTGGACCCATGAGAGCAGTTATGTCAACAAACGCACGTTCGTGTATTTGAATCTCTCACCGTCAATCGCATGAACACCATAATAGGCAGCAAAATCCTGTTAGCTAAGTTCTTTGTACTTTCAATATAACAATATAAATTTTTAATGATGTTTTAAACAATGACATAATGCCATAAACGATTTAAGTACTCGTGATTATTTTTACCAAAGCACCGCAGTCATTTACGCGCGTTCTGATTGGTTTGTCGTATTTTCGCACCTAACAAGCATCGAGAGGGGGACGAGTCTTCTTGCAGGTTACGGAAAGGGGCGAGTGGTGACGCATTATACCCTGAAATTGGTCATTATATTTGTTCAAACACCTTGTCCACATGACAATCAAAGGTTAACCCAGCCAGCAAGGTTGGCAAGGGGAGGATGTCATCTATGGGATGACTCCACGCCCTGCTACATCACACAGCTGAGGCGGCGGGGTAGCCTAGAGGTTAAACTTAAAGTGTTCACTCATCACATCGAAGACCCATTTTCGATTCCCCACATGGGTACAATGTGTGAAGCCCATTTCTGGTGTCCCCCACCATGATATTGCTAAAATATTGCTAAAAGTGGCGTAAAACCATACTCAATCGCTCCATACACAGGTATGATTCCCAGGGCACCAGTGCCATCGTAGCTTAATATTGTTGCTGCCATGGCACGGGCACAGTTTGTTTGAATGTTTGTGATACACCACACTACAAGAGATTCATGTTTCCATATTGCCACCCATTCTCTTCCCACAGAGGTTACTCCTGTCATATCTTCCTACATAACCTCTGTTCTAATACGGCCATATTTCCCGGTCCTCGTAAAATCCCCTAGCGGCAAAAGATCGCAACACGAATTATCTCCCTTCTTTCTATCCAATCAGAACACGTGTTACATCGACTTAGATTCAATTTGACTAACACAAGCAAATGCGGGGCCACAAATATCCCCCATCTGCCGGGGAATTGTGTTGATGTTACACACAAGACGTTTAATGGCTAGCTTGTCCGTTGTCAACGAGGGCGATGGAGACGCCATTGATACGCCATTACATGACTGAGTTCTGTCTAGAAGAAACGTTTGCGCAGATCGCGCTCGGGAAGAGGTTCTAGTTTTCCCGAAGCATACGTAAATTACCGAGGCCTTGCGAATGATCACTTTTGAAACAACGTCGCTGATTGCACAACTAAATCGGCTTGTCTCCAATCACGAGCCTTGAACGCTGACACCAAGAAAGGGTCGTATTAGAACAGAGGTTATGTAGGAAGATATGACAGGAGTAACCTCTGTGGGAAGAGAATGATTGCCACCTGGCAATATAATATTATTTTATACTTTCAAGGAATTATTTCACTTATTGGTGTGCTTGACAGTAATGAAGGATCAAAGTTCCAATGAGTATACGAGATAAAGATTCAGGTAATCTGAACAGTATGACATTGCCAGCACACAATGACATAACTCATGACAATGACAATAACTCGTCTCAATACCCAGACCCGTTTAATATGATCATGTGACTAACAGATTTAACAATCTAACATGTAATTCTTTCATGATTAACAGGCTGCATTGTCTTTGAAGATTTAGACATAATTACTGTCACTTCTTTTGAATATAATAAATGATTAAGATATTGAAAAACTCAGCCTCCGAGCTAGAGAATATATTGCCATTTCTTACAAATTTGATGTCAGGAATTAATAACGGGTATTGGGGTTGGGTAGGGTAATCAGGGGTGGGGTACCCGGATAACAATTTGGACCCGTCCCAGCCCTTATACCATGGAGGAACCTAGCCTGGCACCCTGATTGGGTTAGCTGCATCTTGTGACAAGCATGGGTTACTGAAGACAAAAAGTAACCCCCAATTTTCATGGATATGGCAAGTAAATCACTCGCATACACACAATGAAGGTGTGTATCTAATTATGGATGCATTAATTGGTTGTTGTTTAATATATGGTTTAGTTTAGTTTTACGCTGCACGCAGCAATATTCCGGCTGTATGGCAGCGGTCTGTAAAAAATAGAGTCCGGACCTGGCAAGCCAGTGATCAACAGCACGAACATCGATCTATACAATTGGGATATGATAATGTGTCAACCAAGTCTGCGAGCCTGACCACCCAATCCAGTTGTCGCCTCTTGCGACAAGCATGGCTTACTGAAGACCAATTCTAACCCGGATCTTCACGGAACAAATGATACAAAATTACAATTCATGAATGTTTCAGGGTTCGAAATTAACACTTTGAGGTAGCAAATTTGCTACCTCTTGAAAAAACCACACAGTAGTAGTGAGTAGCAACAACTTGCTACCTGGTAATTTTTAGTGAACTGCAAGTTTTGCTGACACATTTCATCAGATACTTTCTACACTTAACCCTCCAGTAAATCATGACAACCATGTCCAGAACCAGTGGGCTGAATTGAAGGTTCTTGTGAACAGCAGCAATGTGTTGAAAAACCTACACCCAAATGCTCTATGGCAGAGAATATTTCACACAGCCCCGGACAGGAATGACTACAATGCCATCATCAAGGTGATATTTCTTGTTGAACTTTAGCCTTTCAACTGTTTGCTATGAAAGGGTTTTTTTCTGTTATGACAAACAGCAAAACAGACTGGAGATGTAGACTGCAGACAGATACCCTTGATGACTTGATGAGAATCAAACT